AGAAGGAACGGACAGAGACCCCATAGGCCCTGGGCCCAGAGACAACCTAAAGCAGTGGTCACGGTGGGGGGTAAAAGAGCCAGGCAGGTTGGAGGATCTTGGCTTTGTCTTTTTATTTTTATTTTTTAATATATTTAACTGATTTTTTTTACAGAGAGGAAGGGGGAGGGATAGAGAGCTAGAAACATCCACGAGAGAGAAACATCGACCAGCTGCCTCCCGCACTGAGGCACATGCCCTTGACTGGAATCAAACCCGGGACCCTTCAGTCCACAGGCCAACGCTCTATCCACTGAGCCAAACCGGTTTTGGCTCGGCTTTGTCTTTATATTGATGGCAGCCCCTAGAATGGAGGTCCCCGGGTCCCCAAGGCAGGTGGGTTCAGAAGTCTCCCTTCCTCACCTGTTCCCCTCGGACGTCCGAGCACCCGGCTCAGAAACAGCGGACAGGGAAGCAGCAGCTCGGGACTCCGGGCTGGAGAGAAAGCCGGGGTCCCAGGCTGGCCTGAGAGGCTGCAGAGAGGAGGGCTGCAGAGGCATCATTCCTGGGAAGCAACAGGGGAGGGGAGGAAGGGGACAGAGTCCCCGAGGGGAAAGGAAGCGCCCTCCAGGGTCAGAGGAGAGGGACACCGGCTTGTCCCACCGCCAAGCGTCTGCACAAAGTTTCACTCTCAAGATCTGAGGCGTGTGTGTGTGTGTGTGTGTGTGTGTGTGTGATGGGAATATTCCTGGAATTCTGAAGATTCCTGGAATTCTGCACATGCTCTAACTCGCAGCCAGTCAGTTTGTCATCAAGTTCATTTCGAAGACAGCTCCCGAAAGGCAGGATCTGTGCCCTCAGTGCAAGGAGAAGACCCGAGAGGCAGCTGGGGCCCTGCTGTCATCGTGGCCACGCCCACAAGCACACAATTCTCTCTTTCTTGCCTTTCCTCCGTCGGCCATTGGCCGTTGGTTTGGAATTGGTGTAAGTTTCATTGACCGTCCAGAATCCTAACGTGAAAATGGATGTGCGAAGACCCACAGCTGTGCGTCCGGCCCAAGCGTTGCTCCCCGTTGGGGGCCCCTGCCGGCAGGCCCCGCCCCCCAGAATCACATGGGGCTCCCTCTGTTTCCCGCGGCTTCTCCGTCCCCAGGAGACGGGAGCCCCGTGACGTCCTCTTTCACTCTCCGGGCTGCGAGTGGAGCCCGCCTCGCGCTGAAGCCTCGGGAGGGTTGGGTCTTACAAAACACGATGAAACGTTGTTCAAGAGGGTCCTTGGAGTAGAACTGGACTCATCAGCCCGGAGAAAGAGACCGAGGTGACTGGCGGATGGGGTCACATCGGGAAGAGACGATACAGCGCCATGGCCTGTTCTCTGTCTCCGAGCCACAGGGGATGGGGGTGCAGGGCCTCGGGGGAGCTTTGTGGTTATTAACCATCTGGCTCGGTGGTCGGCGAACTCGTTAGCTCACGGAGCCAAATAGCAACAGCACCACGACGGACATTTCTTCGGAGAGCCACGTTCTTTAAACTTCTCCTAACGCCACTTCTTCAAAAAAGACTCGCCGCATGTGGCTCGAGAGCCGCGGTTTGCCGACCACGGGTCTGGGCTGGCAGACCCTTTGAAGACTCTGGTGGAAGCAGTGGACTGGCTCCCGTGCGCCGCCTTCAGGGCTGGGAGGGGACGAGGACGCGCGGCTCGGAGAGGCTGACCGCTGGCTGCGGCCGCCCGCCTGCCGAGGGGGCTGAGGTCCGTGTGGCCACACAGCCCGGCCTGTCCCCGAGATCACAGCTGTGGGGGCCCCGGAGGCTCGGGCTGGGCTTCCTGGGGGGCGGGGGGTGGGGGGGGAGGCGGGCTGCCGACCGAGGTGCCATCTCCCCTGCTGCTTCCCGCTCCTCGGAGATTTTTTCCAAAACACCTCCGCGCGTGTTAATGAACAGACGTCAGCGAGGCCGTCCCCAGCAGCTGAGATCCAGAGGTCCCCGAGGGCGGCCGACATGGACGCAGAAAGCCAGGGCAGCCTTCTCTCTCCCCCGACCCCTCTCCCCGGTTCCGGAGCGTTCTGGAATGTTCTGGAACCCGCAGGCCGGAGCGATCCCATGGGGGGAGGTCAGCCCAGGCCCTGGAGCCTCGGCCGGCCTCCCTCGGAGGGTGACTTCCATCTCGGAGCCGCCGGGGCCGAGAGGGAACGTGCAGGATGTGATGATGACTCATCGGATTCCAGGGGAAGGATCCGGGAAGGCACTTTCTCACGAGCCCTGGGTCATAAATACTTTTTCTGTCGTGGGTTCGATGAAGCTTCCGTCTGAATGTTTACCCACTTGGGAGATTTGTTCATTCTATTCGTTATTTTAAAGATCTTGTGTTTAAAAAAAAATTTTTTTTTTGGGGGGGGGGCGTGGAGTAAGACTGCCCAGTCTAAAGCAGGCCACTGGGCCTTGTGGGTGCGGGGAATCCCCCCGAGGTTGAACAGCTTCTCCTGCCGGGCTGGTGCGGCTCAGTGGTTGAACATCCACCTATGAACCAGGAGGTTATGGTTCGATGCCCAGTCAGGGCACGTGCCCAGGTTGCAGGCCCAGTCCCCAATGGGCCGTGCAGGAGGCAGCTGACGGATGATTCTCTCATCATTGACATTTCTATCTCTTTCTCCCTCTCCCTCCTTCTCTGAAATCAGTAAAAATGCCTATTTTTACAAAACTCCTCCTCCTGGCCCCCCCTGCTCTCTCTGGAACCTTCCTCCCCCTAGCCGACGCCCGCTTCCTGGCGGGGGGCTCCTCGGCTGGGCTTCACCCTTTCTGATCTGGGCCCTGGACTCAGGGCTGGAAATGGCCTGTAGGCCCTGACCAGCCTCCCACGCGGGGGGATGGGGGGGAGCGGGAATTGCTCAGCTCCTTCCGAGCTGCTGCTGTGGTGCCCGGAGAGGGGCCAGGTGGACCAGAGCCACAGTGCCCTGGGGGTCCTCGCAAGGTTAGATTTTTGGGGGAGTTCTAAGAAACCCAAGGCTTGGGTCTCCCGGGGGAAAGGTCTAGAAAGGTGAGCTTCCTGGGAGGCTGGGAGGGAGTTGTCTGGCATGGGTGGGACCCGCGGGACCCACATCGCTCTCCAGCAGCGTCTTGCCTCCACGTCCCTGCAGCCGAGAGTGCAGCCGGGGAGGGGAGCAGGCCTCGGAGGGGACAGGAGGCAGCCTGGAGACTGCCCTGCCTCCCTTCCGTCCAGCCTTCTTCCCCAGCCTCTCTGCACCAGGTCACGACCCCCACCTCCACCCCCCACCCCTCACCCCCCACCCCCGTCCCAGCCTTTGCCCGCAGAGGTGAGGTCAGATGAGGACCAGACAGTCAGGAACGCGGGGACCGTCGCCGTGAGTCAGTCCGCCCCTCAGCTCACCGGTGATGGCACTGGCGCGCAGAGAGGCCATTTGACTTGGCAGGTTCCCGTAGCGAGGGGCAGGGCCGAGGTCCAGGGCTCCTCGTGCATTCATTTCCTACACTGTCTTACCCTCCGTGCATTCAGCCCTGACCAGTGTGGCTCAGTGGATAGAGCGTCGGCCTGCGGACTCGAGGGTCCCAGGTTCAATTCCGGTCAAGGGCATGTACCTTGGTTGCGGGCACATCCCCAGTAGGGGGTGTGCAGGAGGCAGCTGATCGATGTTTATTTCTCATCGATGTTTCTAACTCTATCCCTCTCCCTTCCTCTCTGAAAAAAAAAAAAAAATCAATAAAATATATTTTAAAAATAAATACATAAATACCCACATTTGAGTGCAAGGCAGGCTGTCCGGCCTGGATGGTCCCCAGGCGTGAACACACCCGAGTCTGTCACGCGGTCTGGGTTAGACGCGTGGGTGGTGCTGGGCTGCTGTCTGGCAGTCCGCAGGGTCTGGCGGGGTTTTCTCAGGTGGCGCCCTGTGGGGGCGGAGAGCCAGCACCTGCTGTGGAGGGCGGGAGGCCCCGCTCAGAGCTCGGGGTCCGCTGAGAGGGACAGTCCGGCGGGGGTGTCAGGGCTGCGGTCTGGCGGCCCTGGGCATGGCCTGGAGAGCCTGCGGTGCGGGACCGAGGAACAGGCTCTCCCAGCCCAGAGAAGCTCTCGGTGCCCGAGCCCCAAGCTGGCTGCACAGACACCAGGTCCCACCCCTCTCCTCCTCTCCCTGCAGCTTTGGGTCCTAGCTGGACCTGGGGACGGTCCTGGCCGCCCCTCCCCTGCTGGCAGGGGTGGCCGAGGATGCGTAACCCTGTGGCACGGGGGCAGGGTAGCAGGGGTGGCATTGTGACCCCGGAATCAGCCCGGTCAGCTCTCCTGTGACCTTTTCTTTTTAAAGAACAAATAAACGTATTTTATTGATTTTTCACAGAGAGGAAGAGAGAGGAATAGAGAGCCAGAAACATCAATGAGAGAGAGAGTCATTGATCAGCTGCCCCTTGCACACCCCCCTACTGGGGATGTGCCCGCAACCAGTGCACATGCCCTTGACCGGAATCGAACTGGGACCTTTCAGTCCGTAGGCCGACGCTCTATCCACTGAGCCACACCGGTTTTGGCTCCTGTGACCTTTTCCACGACCTGCGGCCCGTGGGGCTGTCCACCCGCAGTGGGTGGGCCCGGGCTGGCTTCCCTCTGCTCCCGGCTCCTCAGCACCGAAGCGCACGTAGCAAGTGTGTGCTCAGCGTGCGGTGGTCGAACAGACGCGCGGACGAATGCATGGGCAGCAGAGGGACTGACGGCTCAGGCCTCCTGGGCGGGCGGATTGGCCGGCTTAGCGGAGGGGTGATCAGCTCCCCCTCCCCCCCAACCGGCCTTCTGGGCCTGGAGCCACGCCCGTGGGTGGGCCTCACCAGCCACAGCAACGAGGCAGGGTCTGCTGCAGGGACCTCCCTTCCCTCGGCGTCACAGGCTCTGCTGGGGCCCGCCCTGGACACGGGCAGCTTGGGGTTTGGTCTCAGTCACTGCTCCCCACCCCCACCCCCACCCCCAGAGACGCGCCTTCACCGCTGTCCCCTTCTCCCCCCCCCCCGCTCGGGCGCAGATCCTGGCCAATGTCTTCCTCTACCTGGGCGCCATCGCCGTGGGCATCATGTCCTACTACATGGCCGACCGCAAGCACCGCAAGGCCTTCCTGGAGGCCCGCCAGTCGCTGGAGGTGAAGATGAACCTGGAGGAGCAGAGCCAGCAGCAGGTAAGGCTCGGGGCGGCCGCAGGGCCGTGGGCTCGGAGCTGGTGTTTGTGCAGCCAGCTCGGTGCATGGGCACAATGGGCGTGTGTGTGTGTGTGTGTGTGTGTGTGTGTATGTGTGTGTGTGGAGGGGGTTTCAGTGCGCAGGGCCGTGGGCTCGGAGCTGGTGTTTGTGCAGCCAGCTCGGTGCATGGGCACAAGGGGTGCGGGCGTGCGTGTGTGTGTATGTGTGTGTGTGTATGTGTGTGTGTGGAGGGGGTTTCAGTGCGCAGGGCCGTGGGCTCGGAGCTGGTGTTTGTGCAGCCAGCTCGGTGCATGGGCACAAGGGGTGCGGGCGTGCGTGTGTGTGTGTGTGTGTGTGTGTGTGTGTGTATGTGTGTGTGTGGAGGGGGTTTCAGTGCGCAGGGCCGTGGGCTCGGAGCTGGTGTTTGTGCAGCCAGCTCGGTGCATGGGCACAAGGGGTGCGGGCGTGCGTGTGTGTGTGTGTGTGTGTGTGTGTGTGTATGTGTGTGTGTGGAGGGGGTTTCAGTGCGCAGGGCCGTGGGCTCGGAGCTGGTGTTTGTGCAGCCAGCTCGGTGCATGGGCACAAGGGGTGGGGGCGTGTGTGTGTGTGTGTGTGTGTGTGTGTGTGTGTGGAGGGGGGGTTCGGTGCGCAGCCCTGTGGGCCTTGGAGTTCGCCCACCATGTCAGGTGCTCGCTGCCTGACGCCACCTCGGGTCCCTCGCCTGGGAGGGCTCCTCCGACTTCAGGGAGCTTCTCTTGCTGGAAACTCGCTCCCGCATCTCCTCTGTGCTCGGCCAAAGCCTCCCTCTTTCCCTTTTTCGGCTTTTTTTTTTTTTTTTTCCTTACATTTAAAACTTTTTAAGGAAATGCACCACCCCAGCAGCCACCAGTGGCTGCCTGTGGTCCTTTCCCAGGTGGACAAGTGCTGTGGGCTGCATGCTTGTCCTCCGTGGGCTTGCTAGTCCGCCTTGGCCACTCTCTTAAGGTCAGGGGCAGATGCGCACTGCCCACCTACTGTGCGCACAGAATTGCTCTCCCTGCAGCGGGACCCATCCCCTGGCCTCGGGGCAGGGCCCTCTGGGTGATTTCCGACCACCCCCGGCTGTTTTCTCCGTGCTCAGGGCCCTCTCCCCGCTGCCTTCTCCCTCTAAGTCCTGTTTAACGAAGGAAAACCAGCCCGCCCACCCCCTCTCCCCGGGGACCCGCCGTTTACATTTTCCTCGGCGAGAAGTGCCTGCTGTCCTGCCGTTGACCGGCCTGACGGCAGCCGGAGCCACCGCAGCTCCTCCCCTTCGCGTGCGAGTCAGGCTTCCGCCTCGTTCTCGGTCTGGAATCTTCTCAGATGCTTTTGAAGGTCCCCAGAAGTCACATCCGCCCATTTCCTGTTCTCCAGAGGCCATTTCTCCTGCACGCACAAACTCAAGTGGAATATACACGACACTCTGCTCTGGGAACCGTGTCTGCGTGCACCGGTGGGGGCCCATTGGTGGGCCTCACAGTCTCTAGGCCAGTGGTCGGCAAACTCATTAGTCCACTCAATAGCAACAGGACAACGATTGAAATTTCTTTTGAGAGCCAAGTTTTTTTAAGATTTATTTTATTGATTTCTTACAGAGAGGAAGGGAGAAAGATAGAGAGCTAGAAACATCGATGATGAGAGAGAGAAAAACATCGACCAGCTGCCTCCTGTACAACCCCTACTGGGGATGTGCCCGCAACCAAGGTACATGCCCTTGACCGGAATCGAACCTGCAATCTTCAGTCCGTAGGCCAAAGCTCTATCCACTGAGCCAAACCGGTTTTGGCGAGAGCCAAATTTTTTAAACTTAAACTTCTTCTAGGGCCACTTCTTCAACATAGACTCGCCCAGGCCGTGGTAGTTTGTGGAAGAGCCACACACGTGGGGCCAAAGAGCCGCATGTGGCTCTCGAGCCGCGGTTTGCCGGCCACAGCTCTGGACAGTGCTGTTGGAGGCCCACACGGATTCCTTTAGCCGATGGCCCTGGCGTCTGTCCTGGGCGGGTTTTCTCTGTCTGTTTAGCGGTGAGATCTGGACGCTTCGGAGCTGGGCCTCGGGCTCCTTCCTTCAGAAGCAGGCTTAGGAGGGGGCGCTCCGGCCTCCGTGGTGACAGGGCCCGGCCCAGCTCACCGCGAGGGGCCCCTCCTCCTCGGCCGGGGTCCTGTGGTCCCCGAGGAGCTGCCGAGGCTCCGGCACATTTAAAGGATCCTCTGTGTAGTAGTGCTGCTTGGAAGGCCTTCGTTTCCGGTTTTATGCTGTCTTGTCTCGTTCACCTCTGGCCTCTCCTACTGTGGACGCACTCCTTGGGTTTCTGACATAAAAAAGCACGAGGCACTGAACCGGAGTGGCTCAGTGGATGGAGCGTCGGCTTGTGGACTAAAAGGTCCCAGGTTCGATTCCGGTCAAGGGCATGTACCTTAGTTGCGGGCACATCCCCAGTGGGGGGTGTGCAAGAGGCAGCTGGTCAATGTTTCTCTCTCATCAACGTTTCTAGCTCTTTATCTCTCTCTCTTCCTCTCTGTAAAAAATTAATAAAATATATATATATTAAAAAAACAAAAAGCACAAGGCACGCCACCCCTTTGCTAAGCCAGGAGTTATTTCCTTCCATCTCTGTGTGGTTTTCCACCTGCCGACCTGACTCAGTCCTGTCTGTCTCTTCATGTGTCACCCGGGACCTCTCCCATCCCCTTGAACAGTAGCTTAAAAAAAAAAGTATCATTGAAAGTCTTACCTATGTCCCCTTTTCCCCCACTGACCCCCTCTTCCCACCCCAACCCCCTACCCTAGGCCTCAGCACCCCATTGTCTGTGTCCATGGATTGTGCACATATGCATACAAAGCAGGTAGCTTTTTGTTGCTTCTGTCTGATTCTTTCCCTTCTAGGACTCTAGACATTCTCATTAGACATTTTTACCACATTCCATAATTTTTCCCCCCTGAGTCTTATCTTTCTCTTTGTTTCTCCCTGTGCATTGGGTAGAATCTCCTTACTGACTTGACTTCCAACCGTTGAATCTTTAGTTTCGGCTCTTGGATTTGCTGCTGTTGTTGTTCTATTAATAGAATGTCCACTTCATTTTAACACACACATTCCAGTTCTTTGGTTAAGTTCTCCATTTGGTCACCTGTTTCTTGAGAAATATTAAATATTTATTTATTTCTCTCTCTCCCATTGTTGTGACGCTCTGGTCTTTAGTCTTCTGAAAATTGGGGTGAAACACAGTACCATTGTCTTGGGTCCTTTGAGAATCACATCAAGTAAGAGCTTTGAGTCTAGAAGCCATGAAGCCCGTTAGTGTGATTAGCTGTGGCCACACTGGCCCCTGGGGTCACCAGCTGAAGGGAGGGAGGGGCTGGAGGTAGCGGAGCTGGTGTCTTTCTCTGTGGGGACAGTCGAGATGCAGGTTGCTTCCTCCCCAGTTCCGGGTGGTTTTATGTCCCAGGAATGTCAGCTGATGTGTCCTCGGGGCTGAGTGAGGGCCGGTGATAGAGGCCACAGAGTCTCATTTCACGTTTCTCCTCGTGGGAATGAGAGTGAGATAACAGAGCCCTGACCGGTTTGGCTCGGTGGATAGAGTGTCGGCCTGTGGACTGAAGAGTCCCGGGTTCGATTCTGGACAAGGTCATGTACCTTGGTTGCAGGCACATCCCCAGTGTGGGGTGTGCAGGAGGCAGCTGATGGATGTTTCTCTCTCATCAATGTTTCTAACTCTCTATCCCTCTCTCCTCCTCTCTGTAAAAAAAGCAATAAAAATATATTTTAAAAAAAGAAAAGAAAAAGAAGTGGGACGGGGCCTTGGCCGCTTACACCTCCCCGGCTCCAGTCTCCTCCTCCGCAGGGAGGGAAAGCTCTGTGGGCGTGGCCCGGCCTGCAGGGGGCTCTCTTTGCATCAGCCGAGCCGGTGTCCAGCTCCGGGCAATCCGATGGCATTTACCTTTGACCCCGGGTGGGCCTCGGGCCTCTCTCCCCAGCTCCCCTCGGGAGTAGCCGGTGGAGCAGGAGGCCCGGAGGAGGGAACTGGCGTTGTTTTCCTGTTTTCCACGGGATCCTGCTCCAGGGCGGAGTGGGGGACCTTGATGGTTGCTAAGCGCCTCAGCTGCCACCGGGCAGCAGCGGGCATCCAGGAAGTCCGCCCGGGGCACACCTGTCGGCAGGGATGCGGCCGCAGGACAAGCCTTTCTGAATCGCACACACAACCGCTTCCCAGGGAGAGGGCCGCGGTCGGAGGAGGAGGTGGGAGAGGACGGAGGGACGGACGGCAGAGGCTCACGAGGCCTGCACTTCTTTTGGGTTCTGTTGTGAGGTCAGGCAGCCTTGTCCTCAGGGAAGAGGGCGTGGCCTCGGTCCCCACCCCCCATGTGCTCAGCGTCCCCGCTCCCGCACGGCAGAGCCCTGGGCTGACCCTGGATCGGTGTGACTTCTGTTCTGTCCAAGCGGTGACCTCACTGCCCGCCCCGCAGAGCTCCCAAGGGGTGGGGAAGCTGTGTGGCCGGGCACATGGGCGAGCCCAGAGCTGACCTTGTATGCAGGGTTCTAGGTCAGCAAGTTGTCCACCATCCCTCACTGCAGGCTGGGTCATCTCTGTCCGGCGCCTGGAGGACCCTGGGGAGGGGGACACTGGCTTGTGGTCGGTGCAGCTCCTGGGGGATCCAGGACAGAGCAGCCCCTCCCTCGGCCTTATGCCCGGCGCCCGGGGTCACCTCTGACCAGGGACGGCATGTCTGCTTGGTGCCCGCGTCTCAGGGGAGAGCCCGCCGTTCACCGTGATCGTCCGGCGTCTCTCCCGGGAGCCTGGGCCGGGCCCCTGGACAGCTGGCAGCGCACACGGGCTCGGCTTCCGTTTCTCCTCTTCCTCAAGGTCCCTCCTCTCCGACCTCTGCCCCAGCCGGCCCCCTGTTCCCTCCCAGACCTTAGGCTGCGAGGTGAAGGCATGGAGCAATCTCCACCTTGAACCCCGTCCCAGGGGAGGTCGGTAGGGGAGAGGGGAGTCCTGGGGAGAGAGGAGGGAGCCAGCTGCCGTCTGTCTGGCCTGGTGTTGGGCGTCCAGAGTCCTCAAAGTGCCCGGTTGTCCTGGCGACGGGAGGCTGGGCTGTCCCGGGAGCCAGTGAGGCGGGAAGAGGAGCTCCCGCCTCCACAGCAGCTCTGCCTCCTGCCCTCGCTCGGGGCGTGGTGGCCGGTGAGTACCCGGCTGAGAGAGCACACCGGCCGCCCACTCGGCAGGAACCACAGAGGACCGGGCCTCTCCCACTCCCCCAGCGCCAGCCGTGGCTGTGCCTTCACAGTGCCCGTCACAGACAGAGCCAGTACCTCCGTTTTCAGTGTAGCCTCGGTGCCTCTTGGCCTGAGACAGGCCCGAGGAGAGCGTCCCCGGTTGAAGTAGGAGTCAGTGCTGTGTGCGCCCAGCGCCCACTCCGTGGCTTCCCTGGAGGTTCTTCATCCTGGCATCCTAGGTTCTCCACCTTCCTGATGCCGCGACCCTCTCAGACAGCTCCTCCTGTGGTGGTGACCCCCAGCCAGAAAACTGTTTTCGTGGCTGCTTCACAACTGTAATTTTGCTACTGTTAATGAATCTTAAAATATATATATATATTTATATATATTTTAAATATATATATATAATTTAAATATATATATATATATATTATTGATTTTTTATAGAGAGGAAGGGAGAGGGACAGAGAGTTAGAAACGTCGATGAGAGAGAATCATCAGTCAGCTGCCTCTTGCACACCCCCTACCGGGGATGTGCCCGCAACCAAGGTACATGCCCTTGACTGGAATCGAACCTGGGACCCTTCAGTCTGCAGGCCGATGCTCTATCCACTGAGTCGAACCGGTTTCGGCGTGTTAATGAATCAATGTAAATACCTGTGCTTTCCGATGGTCTTAGGTGACCCTGCTAGCAGTTCTCAACCTGTGGGTTGAGGTTCTCAACCTGTGGAGCCCAAGACCATCGGGAAACACAGATATTTACATTACGATCCGGAATAGCATCAACATGACAGTTGTGAAGCAGCCACGAAAATAGTCTTATGGTTGGGGGTCACCACCACAGGAGGAGCTGTCTGAGAGGGTCAGAGAACCACTGCTCTGGCAGAACAAGCCCCATCAGACAGTGCAGGCGGGGGCGGGCCCGCAGAGGGGCGCTTGCTGTGCCCGGTGGACGTGGGCACCAGGGGTGGGTCCAAGTCAAGGAAGGTGGGCGCGGCCTGTGGAGGACGTGCCGTCGGACGGAGGCAGAGGGAGGGAAGCGCAGCCACCGTGAAGCCTTCCTGGCGGAGCCCGGGTCTGAGTCGCTGGCCTGGGCCTTTGTGCCCAGGATGGATGGAGCTGTGTGTTCCCGGGTTGCCAGGCTGGAAGCAGGCATGTGCTTCCCCTGCAGATGCTATAGCGCCCCCTCCCCCACCCCCACCCCCCCAATCACAGGTGCACCCTCCGCCTCCTGCTCAGCCCAGGGGCCTCAGGCAGCCGCTTTCTGCCCTCCGGGTTGGCACGCGAGCTGTGCTTGATGGCTCAGGGTCTGCGCTGTCCGGTATTGCAGCCGCTGCCACAGGCGGCTGCTTAAATGAATGAAAATTAAAGAATTAAACGTGAGAGACTCCGCTGCGCTGGCTGCGTTTGCGTGCTCGGCAGGTGCCGCCGTGGGACCCAGGCTCCGGCCGTTTCCGTGGCGGCGGAAAGCTCTGGTCGAGCTGCTCCAGAGGGCGATGGCTTGTCCCGGGGGCCACGTCTCCTACCTGACAGCTCATTAGCTCACCAACCTCCACGGAGCGCCTGCTCTGTGCCAGGCTCGCCGGGAGGGCCCCAGGTAGCATGCATGTGGCCTCCTGCGGGCCCGGAGGGCTGTCCCCCGAGGCCGCGGTCCCCGTGGCCCCCACGGCGGCCCGCCCCTCCCTGGTGACGGCGTGGGAGTGGGGGGGGGGGGGATGACCAGGGGCTCCTGGGCTCCATGTCCTCGCTCCCGCAGGGCAGGGCTCCGGGCTGACTCTGCGTCTGAGCGACTTCTGTCCCACATGACACGCCTGGTGGGCACTTGCTGGCCTGGCCCTCCCACTGCGGTTCGTGTGGCTCTGCTTCCCGGGGAGCCCGCCCGCCCGCCCGCCCGGGAGACCCTGCTCTCGCTCCGGAAGGTCTTGGGGAAAGAGGGCTGGTGTGAGGGCCGCGGCCCCTCCCTCGGAACTCCCACGGCCTTGGCCGGGGACAGCAGAGCGTTCCTGCCCTGCGAGGCCGGTCACTGCGGTGACCTCGCTGCCCGCCCAGCGGAGCTCCTGGGGGTGCTGTTCACCTCTGACCTTCCCGCTCAGGGACCTGCACACGTGACCAGTGCCTGCGCTTGAGTGACCCACCGAGGGGCGTGGTCCCCTGGTCTGCGGGGTGACACCTGCCCTGCACTGGGGTTTCCTGGTGGCACGTGAGGTGGCCTGGAGGCTCCGGCCGCCCGGGGCTAGCAGTCCAGGCCCTCCTCCTCCTCCTCCTCCTCATCCTTTCCCCTGCAGCCTCTGCTCAGGTGGGCAGGCCAGGAGGGCACCTGGTGGGGTGCAGTGACTGTACTGGCCTCTATGAAGGTGACCAACATGCTGCTCATAGGTTTTTATCCAAGAACCCGGATACATCAGGACCAGAATAGACATGTCTGTGGACTGCTGTGTGCTCACAGCCTGTGATGGGTTGTCATGCATGTATTTGTGTGTGTGGTGTGTGTGTACACACAAGCACATACGTAGGACACACCTGCACATGCCCAAGGACACACCCCCCCTCAGTCAGGCGGGTGCCACACAGACACCGCAGCACATGCACACACGGCCATCTGGGCACCGGGGCCGTGCGGACGGACTGCCCAGCAGGTCTCACGGACCCCTGGGAAGCCCCGCACCTTCTGTTCCGGGAGGAAGTCCCAGCCCCTGGGCCGCCACAGCCACTGCTCCCGGGTCAGGACCCCGTGCCCTGCCCCCTCGGGCCCTGCCCCGGCCGCCTGCTCCCCACGGCCGTCCGAGGGCCCCTCCCAGGACGGGCAGTGCTGTCTGGCCGGAGCCTCCTGGAGGCTTCCAGCGGCTGCTTCCTTTGTGAGCCCTCCCTCATCTGGGGCTGCTCCCAGGGAGGGTCCGGCCTGGCCTGAGTTCCCGTGCTTTTAGGGGAACTCTCAAAGCCCCGTGGGCAGCCTTCCTCCCTCCTGTGGCCTCTGGCGGGTCGGGATGGGAGTTCAGGGCAGCACAGGCCTCTGGGGGACTGGGTTGGCCGTAGAGCAGTCCTCCGCTGGAGGCAGCAGCCCGGTTCCCAGCAGCCTCCTCTCCTCCGCTTCCCCTCGTGGGGCCTCCAGAGCAAGGCTCCCCCTGCTCCAGGCAGCAGCTGCCCTCGGACGTGAAGCATTTCTGCGAGGTTTCTCTGGCCGAGTCCCAGCCCCTCAGACCTGCCCCCCCTGCTCCTCCCCTCATGGTCAGTCCCTGGCTGGGGGGAGGGAGGGCTCCCAGCAGGTCTCCACCTCCTCATCCCAGACCCCTGGCTGCTGTTAAATTCCAAGGGGCTTGTGCAGGTGGCCTTCAGGCTGTGGGTTTATTTAGGATCCAGTCGTATGGTAAAGGGCCGTTGGACTGTCTGGTTCCCGGTCCTGAGGCGCCGTGCCTCTCCCCTCGCTCTCGCCGCTGGTGTTCAGGCCTCTGGCCAGGAGCTCCCCGCTCTGAGAGAACGGGCTGCCGTGGACGGGCGGCGGCCAGGGTCACCGCTGGAGGCAACAGGAAGTCCTGTGTTTACTCCCAGTTTAAAACGTTTCTTTAAAAAGCAGCAGCAGGACACCATATATAGCATTTTGGAAAACATTTTCGTTTTCTCTCAATCCTGTCCCCCCAGTGGCTCTTGGCTCCCGCCCCCGCCCCTGCCCCTGCCCCTGTATCCGCATCACCTTTGCAGCATACGGTCTGTGTCTGCCCTGCTTCCCTCCCTCCCTCCCTCCCTCCCTCCCTCCCTCCCTCCCTCCCTCCCTCCCTCCCTCCCTCCCTCCCTCTCTCTCTCTCTCTCTCTCTCTCTCTCTCTCTCTCTCTCTCGCTGTCTTGTGGCAGCAGCTTTTACCAAGACCTGTTTAAGTGGCGTAATCTTCACCACAGGACCGGCTTGGCTTAATCAGCCGTTGGCTGGCGCTGGGGCTGCCTGCAGAGTTTCCCACATGTGGTGCCCTGTGGGCACACGTGTCTCTTCACTTCTTTGGGTTATTTTTGCTGGACAACCTCCCGGGAGAGTCATTAGTGGGTCAGAGGCTCGGAACATGCTTGTGGCTCCCGGAACATACAGCGAGTGCTGTTTTAGGAAGAGCAGCTCTGCCTCCCTCCGCGCTGGCCCCCCTCGAGGCTCGGCTGCCCACCCTGAGCAGAGGAGGGGGCCTCCTGCTTAGGCCCTGCCCTCAAGGATGCACAGGCAGGAGCAGCGGAGAGCGGGCCCCCAGGACCTGTCACGCCTCCTGTGAGCGGACACACACACACACACAGGACACCTGTCACACTTCCTGCGGCCAGGGAACACCATGGAGGCCCAGACCTGTCACACTTCCTGCGGGGTGGGGTGGGGGGGAGGAGGACACTGCGGAGGCCCAGAGCCGGTTGGATTTCTTCCCAAAGGGGCTCAGGCCCCAGCCCCAGCCTGCTCAGTGCGGGTGCTGCCCGTCCTGGGCCTGTGCTCTGGGGCCTGTCGGGGCGAATGGTTCCCGGCTGACGTTGTCAGAATCCGGTGTTTCTTCCCGGAAGAACCTGAGCTGCCCCTGGATGAGCGCCGGGGAGACCCCGAGGTCTCCCCTCACTGCCCTCCCTGTGCCCCGCAGGAGAACCTGATGCTCTCCATCCTGCCCAAGCACGTGGCCGACGAGATGCTGAAGGACATGAAGAAGGACGAGAGCCAGAAGGACCAGCAGCAGTTCAACACCATGTACATGTACCGCCACGAGAACGTCAGGTGGGCTCCGCGGGGCGCTGCGGTGAGGTCTCCCGGGGGGAGAAGCACAGCCATCCCCGCTGCGGGGGCCCCGGTGTGAGCAGCCCTGCAGGCGGGCCTCGGGCTGAGACACGCTTTGGGCTCTGTGGTCCAGCCCTGATGTTGTACCAGCATCACCAGAGCCAGGAGGTGACATCTGAGCGGCCGCCCGGCGTTCAGGGCCGGCACGGGGGCTCCTGCCCTCCCGGGCCGGAGGGCGGCAGCCTGGGAGGGCCCATAAGTGCCAGAGCCGCAAACTCACCCTCCATGTGCCCAGGTCTCACCGCTTTGGGGCTCGAGCAAACTCACCCTCAAAGAGTTCAGGTCTCCCCGGGACCCTGGCTGCCCTGGGGGTGGGAGGGGGAAGCAAGAGCAGGAGCAGGAGCTGGAGCAAGAGCAGGAGCGGGAGTGGGAGCAGGAGCAGGAGCGGGAGCAAGTGCAGGAGCAGGAGCAGGAGCTGGGGCGGGAGCTGGGGCGGGAGCTGGCGTGGCGTCAGGGTGCGGTGTGCCGCGGAGCCTCACGGGCGCCTCCTCCCTCAGCATCCTCTTCGCAGACATCGTGGGCTTCACACAGCTGTCTTCCACCTGCAGCGCCCAGGAGCTCGTGAAGCTGCTCAACGAGCTCTTCGCCCGCTTCGACAAGCTGGCGGCCGTGAGTGCTCTCGGCCGTGCCGGCTCCAGGGGTCCCCCCTCCCTCCCTCCCTCCCTCCCTCCCTCCGGCCCGCCCCTCCTCCGCGCCCTCACCACAGCCCCCTGTCCTTTCAGAAATACCACCAGCTGCGCATTAAGATCCTGGGCGACTGCTACTACTGCATCTGCGGCCTGCCGGACTACCGCGAGGACCACGCCGTCTGCTCCATCCTCATGGGGCTCGCCATGGTGGAGGCCATCTCGTGAGTGGGCGCCTGGGCCCGGGGGAGGAGTGGGGGCCCAGAGGCCTCAGGCCCCGGGGAGCCTGCGTGCAGTGGGGGACGTGGTGATGTTGTGCAGCTGGAGGTCCCTCAGGACGAGGCGGGGGCAATCCTTCTGCCCACTCAGCTCAAAGGCAGGCAGAAAGCTGGGGCACCCCATGGCTGCTTGGCCCAGGGGGGAAAGGAGCAGGTGGGATCCCTCCTGGGGGTGAGGGGCCGGCGCCTGGCTGCGGGCTTCCCCTCACCCTCCTCCTCTCTGTGCGCCTGGCAGGTACGTGCGGGAGAAGACCAAGACCGGGGTGGACATGCGTGTGGGGGTGCACACGGGCACGGTGCTGGGGGGCGTGCTGGGCCAGAAGCGCTGGCAGTACGACGTGTGGTCCACCGACGTCACCGTGGCCAACAAGATGGAGGCCGGCGGCATCCCCGGGTGAGGGCCCTTCCCCTGGGCAGGCGCCGGGCGGAGGCACAGCCATCCCTCCCGTCGAGGCTCGGGCGAGGCCCCCTCCCACCAGGACCCGCGTTCTTTCCTGGGCCCGTCTCCTGGGGCCGTGGTTGGCTCTGGCCTCTCCTGCCGGGACCTGTGCGCCATGTATCCCCTTTGCCGACAGGCAGGGCCGCCCGGGCCCTGATGCCCTCACACACTGCCGTCTGCCAGCCTCCCGGCAGCGTGACCGTGACGGCCAGCAGCAGGCGCAGAGGAGCCACCTGCCCATACAGAAGCGGCCGGCCAGCCCCTGCCTGCGCTCAGGGCGGGCGGGCGGGCGGGCTGAGGGCCTCGGACACCTGCCCGCCTGGGCCCGGAGCTCCCGCGGGGGCACTCCCCAGAGAAGGGGCCGTTGCCCCCCAGAACGGGTGCAGACTTCTTTTTATTTAATCTCATGTCATTCTTTTTAAAAAAAATATATTTTATTGATTTTTTGACAGAGAGGAAGAGAGAGAGGACAGAGAGTGAGAAACATCAATGAGGGAGAAACATCGATCAGCTGCCTCCTGCACACCCCCCACTGGGGATGTGCCCGCAACCAAGGCACATGCCCCTGACGGGAATCAGCCCAGGACCCCCAGTCCGTAGGCTGACGCTCTATCCGCTGAGCCAAGCCGGTTTCGGCATGGGTGCAGATTTCTAACTGTCCTTCTCCTTTGTGCTCTCAGCAGCCTGAGGACAAAACCTTATTCCTGCCTGTCCCATGGACTTAACTCCGAGGCTCCGAGGGGGGCAGGTGCCACTCTGCCCACAACAGGACCTCCCTGCCTGCCCCGGGTGGCCCTGTCCCATGCTCCCCTGGGGCGGGTGGGGGGCCGTCTGGGGCCCGTCGGCGGCCCGTCGGCAGCGGGCAGGGGGCTGGTGGGGGGCAGCAGGGGGGGTGGGCCGGGGCTCGTCGGGGGCGGGCGGGGGGCCGTCGGGGGGCGGGCGGGGGGGGGCGGGGGCTGTTGGGAGCCGGCGGGGGGCCGTCGGGGGGCCGCGGGGAGCGGGCGGGGCTGTTGGGAGCCGGCGGGGGCGGGCGGGGGGCCGTCGCGGGGGCTGTCCGGGGCGGGTGGGGGCCGGCGGGGGACCGCCGGGGGCGGGCGGGGGCTGTTGGGAGCCGGCGGGGGGCCGTCGGGGGGGGGGGCGGGGGCCGGCGGGGGCCGTCGGGGGGGGGGCGGGGGCTGTTGGGAGCCGGCGGGGGGGGGGGGGGGCCCGTCGGGGGCGGGCGGGGCCGCGCTCAGGGCCTCTCTGGCTGCGGTGCAGGCGCGTGCACATCTCCCAGAGCACCCTGGACTGCCTGAAGGGAGAGTTCGACGTGGAGCCGGGCGAGGGGGGCAGCCGCTGCGATTACCTGGAGGAGAAGGGCATTGAAACCTACCTCATCATCGCGTCCCGGCCGGAGGTGAAGAAAACCGCCTCCCAAAACGGCCTCGGCAGCTCGGTGAGTCCCCGCCCACCCCCTGCACGAGGGCGCGGAGAGGAGGGCGCGGGCGGAGGGTGGCAGGGGCCGGGCGCGGCCTGATGGCCCAGTGAGCTGTGAGGGGCCGGTGGGCATCCAGCGATGCCGAGTCCCGCTGAGCAGTGAGTCCCGCTGAGCAGTGACGGGCCGCCCTCCAGAGCCTGCGGTGTCTGGGGGAAGGGGACTGTCCCGCCCCGCCCCGCCCCTCCCCGGGGAACCTGTGTGGTGCTCTGAGCGGCTGGGTGGAGGGGGGTCCCTGCAGGAGACGCGGAAGCCACCGGAGTGGCGCGGGGGAGAGCAGAGGGAGGGTGCGGGAGGCAGTGGATGCCCCTCCCTCCTCACCTCGGCGCCCTCCCCGGGCCCAGGCCGGCTTTCGCTCACTGTCTTCCTTTGTGTGAAAGATGAAGCTGTGAGCAGTCTCATGTCTTTAGTTCCCAAGGCAGGACACTGATAATGTGCTGTCAGCCAGGTGAGACTTGCACATTCATATCCATTTGGAGGCTTTCCCCAGCTCTGCATTCTAGAAGCGCTTTTATAAGAGGAACCACATTCACCAGACGCTTTATCACGCATCCCTCCCTCCCCGCCAGCACTTGGTACACCCTCTCAGGGAATGTAGGTGCCACTGCTGGAGACTCTGGCTCTCTCCACGCCCTGGTGCGCAGCGTGAGGCGGGACTGTCCTGTGGGCAGGGCGGGCCTCACAGCTGTGTCTCCAGCATTCTGTGGACTCGGGCGAGGCGATGCTCAGATCACCCTGTCTGCTCCGCAGTCAGCGAGACGTGAGCGTGCCTGAGGGTGGTGGGAGGGTCCTGGGAGGAGAGGGCGTCTCTGGAAGTCACAGGAGCACATGCAGTTCCTTTGCAGAAACCTCCAGGGTTTAGTGGAAGGAAGTGATGAGAGTGTGAGCAGGCCTCTTCCCTGTCAAATCTGTCTGAAACGCCACCTCCGACAACTCCCTGATCTAGCTCCCCGCCCCAGCCCGCTGCCCTGCGCGCAGCTACCGCCTCTGGTGCGTCTCCATTCGCGAGTGAGCAGGCAGCTCGGAGTTTCCAGGCGGCGGTGCACGCTCGCTCCTGCTCTCCACACTCACGTCCTCTCCTGCAGCCTTCCCACCTGTCCTGGCCGCTCTTCCTCAGTCACCTGCCAGGGGCCGATCCTCAGACCACAAGCTTTGAGGATCTCCTTGAATATTTTTTATTTTTTTTTATTTTTTTACATTTTTATTGATTTCAGAGAGGAAGCGAAAGGGGGAGAGAGAATCATTGATCGGCTGCCTCCTGCACGCCCCCCACTGGGGATCAAGCCCGCAACCCAAGCATGTGTCTCTGACTGGAATCGAACGTGGGACCCTTCAGTCGGCAGGCTGACTATCCACAGAGCCAAAGCAGCGAGGGCCTCGACCCCTCTCTTTACCACCCAGACCGAGTTCTGTTTGCATTTCTTGAAAGACAGAGCTCCAACCACCCACAGCTACCATACCCGTCTGTGCCACTGTCATCTCGTGTAGGGTTCCTGCAAGCATATCCCGACCAGTCACCCTCCTCTGTCCTTGCCGCCACCCTGTTAAGTGAGATCATGTCACTCCCCTGCTCAGAACCCTCCCCGGTTTCCTGTCTCACTCAGAGGAGCGGTGGTCAGCTAGGGTCGGGCCCTTACCTTCCGGTCCCCTCTCTCTCACCCTGCCCGGCAGCCTGGCCTCAGGCTGGGCTCAGTTCCCCCAGGTCACACCTGTTCCAGGGCCTTTGCACCAGCTGCTCCCTCTTAGTGGGATTCCCTCCTCCCTCCCCCGCCCCCTCCGCCATCAACAGGCCTTTACTGAAATGTCATCTTCATGGTGACACCTCCCAGGCCTGTTCTTTGCGGGCACACTGCAATCCGTGTCTCCTGACATCCTCCTCCTCCACAGCACTTTCTCTCAAAGTACGTGCTGTGACAACCTTTCCTCCCTGGAACGTGAGTGTCCAAGGTCAGGGCATTTTGTCTGTATCGCCAGGAATTAGATCAGTTCCTGTCACATAATAGGTACTCAGTTAATGCTCATTAAATGAATGAATGAATGACTTCCCTGTGTGATAGTGTATAATTCTATCAAGGAAATACACTAATCATTGGGGACATTGGCTTATGGAACATTCGGACTTTTGGAAGGCATCTGACAGGGCTCCACACCAAAAAAGAGCTCTGGGAATCACTGTGCCATTTAGGTACTGTTTTAGAAATAGGAAAGGGAAAGTGGATAGAGCGTCAGCCTGCGGACTGAAAGGTCCAAGGTTCAAGGGCATGTGCCTTGGTTGTGGGCACATCCCCGGTAGGGGGTGTGCAAGAGGCAGCTGATCGATGTTTCTCTCTCATCCATGTTTCTTACTCTCTATACCTCTCTCTTCCTCTCTGTAAAAAATCAATAAAATATATATTAAAAAAAATAGAAATAGGAAAGGGAATACTGGGACAGGTTTTAATAGTAGACTAGAAAATTATAGTATTTAAAGACTAGAGGAGTGAAATTTCCAAGTGCATAAGGCTTCTGAACGCTGGTGAGGAGACTGCAGACTGCGAGTAGATGCACCACAGGATGGTGGGCGGCTGGCAGCGTCTGGAGTCCCTGACAGCCACTGCTTCCCACTGCAGGCCCTGCCCAACGGAGCACCCGCGTCCTCAAAGCCCAGCTCCCCTGCCCTCATCGAGACCAAGGAGTCCAATGGCAGCGTCCACACCAGCGGCTCCACGTCGGAGGAGAACGAGGAGCAGGATGCCCAGGTACGTGCAGGGCTGAGGGCCAGGATGTGGGCAGGGGGTGGGGAGGCAACTGTTGTCGCAGGAAGGGGCCTGTGCTCAGCGCTGGAGAGCTGGCCGCAAGCCTGGGCTCCGCTCCCTTTTAGCAGTGTAGCCCGAGCAAGTCACCTCCCCCCAAGCCCCAGCCCACAGTTCCCTTGTCATTTACATGGGGTCAGGGTGGGTAACATCAGTAAGGAGCCAAGATGGCAGCATAGGTAAACACCTGTGCTTGCTGCCTCTCACAACCACATCAAAACTACAACTAAAAGAGCAAATCATCCAGAACCGCGGGAAAGCTGGCTGAGTGAAGTTCTTCAACTAGAGGTAAAGAAGAAAGTGCATCGAGACTGCGGAGGTGTGGAACGGTCTGGCACCCAGGGGTGCTGCTTTTTATATCGGAAGGGAGATACAAGCTCCCGCCTGCTCTGAACTCCAGTTCCAGGCGAGACTCTGGGGGACCCAGACACACACGGGGAGAAACTGGACTGCCTGGCGTCGGGACAGGAATGGGAGTGCAACATTCTTTCAGACGGAGGTGCTGGCAGCCGTCATCTTCCCTGCACTGGGATCTGGGACTTCTCCGGTGCAGGGCTGACCGGCGGCCATTGCTGTTTGCTCTGCCCAGTAGATTCCCTGAGACCTTACCCCACCCAAGCTGTTCGTTGTCATAGTGGCTTGGCTTTAGCATATGAAAGGCCTTTCCTTTCTCAGCCTAAAACCTCTCAAACAGGCAGCAGCAGCAGCAGCAGCCGCCGCCTGTCTTGCTACATAGCTGGGCCTTGTCTGGGCACTTCCAAACCCAATACAAAGAAGAGGAATCTGCAGATCTCTCTGTGGCTCCTGCTGGGTAGCCTCAGGTAGTGGCTGACTTGACACCTTCCTGGAGACCCAAGAGCCAGTGTACCCAGTGGTCAGTGTCAGACCATACCAGATTACAACTCTTCACATCCATAAGTGACACATTCAAGGGGCAGACTCAGTGAGCACCAAAGCCCCTCTGAAGCAAGTCCTGCCCTATGGGGTGTCTCCTGCTCAGCAGCTCTTCCATTGTAGATACAACTGGTCCTCAGCCAATTGGCCTGGAGGTCAGTTCCTCCTAGGGACACCAACAGCAATCAAGGCTCAACCACAAGACTGTGCTCACAGCCCACAAGAGGTGCACCTGTAGCTCCCAGCTCAGGTGACGGGGGAGGCTGAGGTGCTGCGCCCTACCACAGGACACCTCCCACACAAGGCCACTCTGTCAAAAGGCTGCTGGTTTGATTCCTGGTCAGGGCACATGCCTGGGGTTGAGGGCTCAATCCCTGGTAGTGGGCGTGTAGAAGGTGGCTGATCAATGTTCCACTCTCACATTGATGTTTCTCTCCTCCCTTCCTCACTCTCTAAAAATCTTTAAAAAAAAAAATTAAAAAAAGGAAAAAAATAAAAAAGGTGCTCACCTCTGAGCCTCGCCTAGCTCTGATGTTCCAGAGCCCTAAGACCCGCGGGGAGCAAACACATCCATGAAAAATCCCTTTCCAGGACTGTTTTAGAAGTCAGAGTTGAGGGCTGAACTAAGCTCAGCTCTCTGGCTAGGTTCAGACTCCACAGTGCCCAGATGCCTGTGTGGGCCTGGCCCTCCCATCCTCGGAGCAGGATGAGCTTGGACTACGCCGGCCAGCAGGGGTCTCTGGCTGGAGAGCCAGGCAGCTCCCCGAGGGTGCTGCCGATGGTGGTGACCTCTGCGGAGTGTCTGTGGGGCCACAGGGCCTGGGACCAGTGTCCCAGGGAAACGGCTCTGGGCGCAGACCGAGCGGAGGGAGCTGCGTGGGCGCCCAGGGAAGACTTTCCTTGGAAAATGGTTTCTAGAGCCGAGGTGTCAGTCCTCGAGGGCCACACCCCCAACCCCATGTCATTCTCCAACGGCATCCCGTCTGTCCCCCAACGCTGCCTCGCAGGCTGACAACCCCTCGTTCCCCAACCCTCGCCGGAGGCTGCGCCTTCAGGACCTGGCTGACCGGGTGGTGGACGCCTCTGAGGATGAGCACGAACTCAACCAGCTCCTCAACCAGGCCCTGCTCGAGCGGGAGTCCGCGCAGGTGTAAGTGCCCCCCCGCCCCCTGCCCTGGCCCAGGCCAGGCCCCGCCACCTTCCCGATGGGCCCAGGCACAGGCCCCATTACCTTCCCGAAGGGCCCAGGCAGAGGTGGCCCTCGCGTCTCACGGCTCATTCCCCCCTCAGAGTGAAGAAGAGGAACACCTTCCTCCTGTCCATGCGGTTCATGGACCCCGAGCTGGAAACACGCTACTCGGTGGAGAAGGAGAAGCAGAGCGGGGCCGCCTTCAGCTGCTCCTGCGTCGTGCTGCTCTGCACGGCGCTGGTGGAGATAGTCATCGACCCCTGGTGAGGGGCCTGCGGGAGCCCGAGGCCGGGGAGGGGGAAGGCGATGAGCTTCCTGGCCAGAGGTGTATGTGGGGACTGGTGTAGGGCTGCAGCACTCCTGTTCCTTGTCCCCGTCGGAACAGCCCCACTGACCTCAGGCCAGGGAAAGTGGGGGCTGGCACTAGCATCAAAATGGGGGTCAGATCAGAGCTCAGAAGGCTGAGGGACAGAGGGTCTAGGGGTTGGAGACCCGGCCTAGCTGGGCCTAAGTGGTTCTGGGATAAGGAGACAGAGGCTGGGGACACTCCGCAACTGCAGTCACCAAAGCCAACCTGGTTCCTCTTCTTGGCTCATCTCTAAACGAAGATTTAGGCTCAGGGTCCAGACGGGTTGCTCTAACACAGCAGCTAGTCCTCTGGGGGCTAGCTGGGTGTTCTGGAGTCCTTGCCTTCACTGCCCAACGGAGGACAAGCCCCTCCCTCCCTGCTTGGGCCAGTCAGCAGCTCATCCTGCTCAGGGATGATTTCCCAGCAGAGGGAGCCAGGTGGAGCCCAAAAGAGCCTGGGACTCAGTCACATGGGCCTGGTCCCGCACACACTTTACTCGTTGTTGTGACCGCAGGCCTGTCACCGAGGGCTCCTGAAGCATCAGCTTGTAAAGTCAGAGCTGACAAGGAGGGTAATCTGAGGATGACAGTACCGGCTCCGGCTCACTCAGGGTGGTTGTGAGGCCCAAATTCACTCTTTCGTTCACAAGTATTGACTGTCTACTTCGTGCCTGGGGCTGAGGTCTAGGGATGTAGCAGTGAAGGTAACAAAAAAATCTCTGCTCCAGAGGGACTTCCATTTTAGAAGGGGAAGATGATCGTGAACAATTAATCAGAATATATTATATATATGCAGACAGAGTAAGTGCTATAGATACAAGTGAGGAGGGGAGAGACGGATGCTGGTGGTGAGCTGGATTTTGGCGTGTGTGTATTTGTATAGGATGCTCAGAGCAGGCCTCGCTGACAGGGTGAGAGGAGACCAGGAATCGGGTGCAACCAAGAATCAGGCAGTGGATTAGCAACACCATAGCTACGTGGCAGCATGCTCACTCCTAAGAATCCCTTCTCAGGTGTTACTGGGCTCTGCCCTGGGGGCGTCTGCCAGTCTGCCTTCTCTGGGAAATGTCCTGGCCCAACAGTGACAGCTGTGGAGGGCGGTCCAGTCCCAGGCCCCGCACTCAGCTGGCAGGCCCTGGCGTCCCATGGAACTTTCAGGTGCAGGCTGGTGCCTTACTTGTAGGGCTTGCCTTCTGCCTCCTATCCCTCACTCTCACCCTCCCTCGCTACTCCCTCCGGTCCCTCCTCATTGCCTTCTCTCTGTGACAGGCTGATGACCAACTATGTGACCTTTGTGGTTGGGGAGCTTCTGCTCCTGGTCCTGACGGTCTGCTCGCTGGCGGCCATCTTTCCCCGGGTAAGCAGCACTCTCCTTTCGGCTCAGAAGCCCTGGGAAGGGAGTGTCACTCCCCGTGGAAGTGTTGGTGGAGTTACGCATCCTATCAAATCCTTACAGATTATAGATCTTTTAGAATGGTGCAGGGTTATCCACTCATTCAGACTCCAGGGAGTCATTCATTGACAGCCTGACAGTGCTGAGCACCCTCTGGGGGCTGGGCCCTGACGCTGGAGCACGTATGAGTGTGCGAGCCGGAGCCTAGAGAAACGAGAGCCGGTGTCGAACGGCAGTGGAGGCCCCACTGGGAGGTGGGCTGGCCCTGGCTGTGGAGGACCTCGACACCCAGACAGAAGGATTAAGACTGACTTCTCTGAGCACCGAGGGGCCATTTTAGAATTAACAAAACCAAAGTCGTGTTTTAGGAAAAGTAATCTGGCAGGTGGCTTGCCAGGTAACAGGAGACTTTAGGTATGCCGACCCGGGAAAGACAGACTAGCCAGGCACAGATGGCTGGCCCTGACCAGTCTCCCGTCTTGGCCTTGTCACTTGGGAGATAAGAAACGGGCTCCTGCTGGCTAGTGCTGCCTGTGGCCTCCTGGTCTGGTCTGAGGAAACAGCTCTGCTCTCTGGGAGCTGTGACATCTCCCGAGTATGTAACGGGAGGGATAGAGCGCCAGGATTCCTGCGCTACCTTCTCCGCCCAGCCACGCTGTCAGCTTTGGCTGACTCGCACGTACAGCCCTACGTTTTAGGTTCGTGGGAAGGATGAGAGCACCCGAGTCGTTAGCAGTTGTCTCAAGGCTCATGGCCCTTGAAACTCCATTCCTTCTAGGCCTTTCCTAAGAAGCTTGTGGCCTTCTCGACGTGGATTGACCGGACACGCTGGGCCAGGAACACCTGGGCCATGTTAGCCATCTTCATTCTGGTCATGGCAAATGTCGTGGACATGGTGAGTTCCCGCTGTCCTTGTGCAGGGACACTCCCGTCAGTGGGAAAAGGCTTCCATACTGGCCAGCTTGTCAGACCACTCCTCCAACACGAGACAGGTCTGGAGTGGCATTAGGTTCCTAATGAAATCCTGGCAAAACAGAAGGGTCTTCTCCCCAGGAAAACTCCCAAGACTTGTTCCCAGCTCCTTGTTCTCCAAGTTCAAGAACCAACACCATGCACCAGATCCCACCACGTGCTAGGTGCTTTATATATATTAACTCAATCTTTTTTTCCTTTTCAACCACAATTTACATTCATCACTTAATCTTGATAACAATCCCGGGAGGTCAGTATTTTTAGCTGTAGTTCCATAGAGGAGCTAAAGCTCCAAAAGGTTAATTCACTTCTTTGAAGTCACTCAGCCAATAAGTGACAGAGTCAAGAACTGAAGGTCTGAATCTCAACCCCGTTTTCCTCCAAAAAGGATAGATTCTTTATGGACATACTTTCTACTGACTACATCTGCCCAGCAGTGGGACCATTGACCAAATCCAAAATGGGGAGCGTTGGAGCAGAGTGGCTGCCATCCATGTAGTTGCGAGGTGTGCGTGATGGGCTGGCCCCACATTCCCTCTTTAAGGGTGATGTGAGCAGAGCGCTACTAGGTTTGAAACCTGAAGACTGGTCTCCCAGCTCCGGCTTTCCCACTTGCTAATTGTGCTAGTTTGGGCGAGTCCAGCCTGAGTCTCTCCTCAATGGTGGCAATTCTAAAAACACTCGGGGAGATTTTGTGAACAGCCAAAGGGATGACGGTGAAGCTCTTAGTAGGAGTTACATCTGTATTATTCCGTGGTAAATTTCCCACCCTTCTCGGTGTTCCTGAGGGAGCTGGGAAGTGGCAGCTGAGCAGCATTGCCACAGCAGCCTTCTCTGACGATGTCTGCTCTTCCCTTGACCGTGTTCTTCCCGGGGCCTGGCCTCCAGCTGAGCTGCCTGCAGTACTACAGGGGACCCAACAATGGCACCTCGGGGATGGCGACGGAGGATGGCTGCATGGAGAACCCCAAGTATTACAACTACGTGGCCGTGCTGTCCCTCGTCGCCACCATCATGCTGGTGCAGGTCAGCCACATGGTGAAGCTCACCCTCATGCTGCTCATCACCGGCGCCGTGGCAGTCATCAACCTCTGTGCCTGGAGCCCCATCTTCGATGAGTACGACCGCAGGCGTTTCCAGGAACCGGGGTAAGATGGCACTTGTTTAGGAATCTGGAATTTCTTCTTCCAACTCCTCAGTCCCCACTGCAAAGTCATGGCCCTGCGTGGAGGTGGCCTCCTGCCTCGGGAATCAGGGTTCGTGCCTCTGAACAGCTGTGAACCTGGGGCAGACCTCCCCGTTCCTGAGGGGAGGGTCTGGGCTGCCTCAGGGTCTGCCCGGGCACCAGCCTCTGGTACCCAGACGGGACCTGAGTGTGCCACTATCTGTCCAACAGCTTTCCCCTGGTCGCCTTAGAGAAGATGCAGATCCTCTCCACGCCCGGGCTCAATGGCACTGGCAGGTAAGGTGACTGCTTTCCTCCTGGTCCAAGTTTTTGGCTCCTTTCTCTAGGGCAGTGGTCGGCAAATTCATTAGTCAACAGAGCCAAATAGCAACAGTACGACGATTGAAATTTCTTTTGAGAGCCAAATTTTTTAAACTTCTTCTAACGCCACTTCTTCAAAAACAGACTCACCCAAGCCATGGGATTTTGTGGAAGAGCCACACTTAGGGGCCAAAGAGCCGCATGTGGCTCACGAGCCGCAGTTTGCCGACGGCTCTAGGGAACACTGTGGCCAGAGCCTTATGATCTCTGCCTTGTAAAGGCACAGGCCCTGGGATGCTTGAGGAGAGAAGCTAGTGTGTATTTCTGTAGAGGGGCTGGGCAGAGGAGAATGGCTTTAGTGTGGGCCTGGTCATCCCCAGTCAGAGGACAGCTTTGAGAGCAGCAGCAGTACGGTGTAGAGAAGGGATGAGGGGGAGAGAAGTGAAATGGATGGGGCTGCATGTGACTGGCAGGCAGTACAGAGAGCAGAAAAACGAGGGAAAAAGAACACTGCCTTCGACCTAGAAGTCCTGGATTCTTAACCTGTCACAGTAATTCTCTGTGGTGCGGCAGGCAGCCCAGTTTTCCGAGTCTCAGTTTAATAGTGGACAGGAAGCTCTCCAAGGTCTCTTCTGGCTCTCGAGTTTTAGAATGTTGTGATTCAGTGGCTTGACTACAATCAGGTAAATTTAACAAAAGATTAGAAGATGAGGAGAACTCTTAAATAGTCCTTCACACAAGAAGAAATCTAAATGGCCACTGATAAATGTAAGGCATTTAAGTAATCAGGAAATCCAAGTTAAGACCATAACAAAAGACAGTTACACACTTACCAGTTTAGCAAGAATTAAGAAGTCTGATAATACCAAGTACAATGGTAACTCAGATTACAGCAATTCCACTGCTATCCACATTCCTTAGAGAAATCCATGTACATACCGGTATGTATGTGTACAAGGATGTGTACAAGAATTAATAGCCACAAACATTCAAAACATGAAAATGATCCAAATTACACAGTGAGTGATACATAAGTTGTGGTATATTCATGCAACAGAATACTAAACAGTAATGAAAATAATGAACTTATATAGCTCCACTCAAAAATATATAGTTCTAAAAAAGGATGGCAAAATTGTGCCTTAATTCCATCGCTGTGATGGTAGTCTCTCCTTTTTCCAAGTTCCTCATGCTTTCAGTTACTTCCGGGACCAACCAGATGATGCGGTATTTATTAACACCTGGGAGCAGCCCTGATGTGAATTCCAGGTGCAGCCAGGAGGCGCCAGGATTGGTTGGCTCTTAGTGACTTAAAGCTTTTTTAAAGTGATTTACTGCTGTCCAATGGTAGGCAGTAAATGTGAAGATGCTAAAGGAGCTAGGAATTTCTGGGACCCAGGAAAGAGTGAATAAAACACCTCTTAGGAGAGCAGCCTGGGTGCTTTCAGTTGGATTACTCTGCCCTGCAGGCTGCCCTTGGTGCCTTCCAAGTACACGATGACAGTGATGATCTTCGTCATGATGCTGAGCTTCTACTACTTCTCCCGCCACGTGAGTGCCCGCACACGCTCCGTCCTGTTTGCTCACAACCCATCAGGGCCTGAGTAATAGGATCTGAAAGCACAACCTCCTAAGGAAAGCTAGTTCCCTTTGCCCAATATGTCATGTGATCCTGTCAAGCCACCACCTTGTCCTTTTTCTGGTTTCTTCCTTAGTGATACAAGCAAACAGTTCTTCTTCTGACCCACTCTAGGCTGAAGGAAGCATGGGGCGGGACATCAAAGCTTGGGTAAAACCTCTATTCCCTAAGCCAGGAGCTCATGGATCTTCACTCACCCAGGCTCTGGGGACGTTAACACACTGACCGTGCGAGAAAGGGAAAGGACAGATGAAGTTTTCTGTTTGGTTAAAGGGGGAAAAGAGCGGGCGGGAAAGAAGCCATGTAAGGTACTTACTGCTCCGTTAGCTCAAGTACCACCCAGTGGTTGGCCAGGGGAAGTACAGCCTTCCTAAGCCACTTGTAGGCAGGCCGGGAATGGGACTCCTCCCAGCACTAGGAGATCCCGTCGCTAGTTAGGTCCCTGGAGGCTCCACATGTCCGGAGGCCTTTGACCTCTGCTATAACCGGAGGCTGGATCCTCGCTGCAGCTGTTGGGGTCTTTTCTTTCCCTTGCCATGTAGCCATCTTCCTCCCAGTTTTCACCTCCCATCAAATGGCAGGTTTAGAGCGAACACACCGTGCATGTGTCTGCAGGTGGAAAAACTCGCAAGGACGCTGTTCTTGTGGAAGATCGAGGTCCACGATCAGAAGGAACGTGTCTACGAGATGCGACGCTGGAACGAGGCCCTGGTCACCAACATGTTGCCCGATCATGTGGCCCGCCATTTCCTGGGGTCCAAGAAGAGAGATGAGGTGAGGGGTGACCTTGTGCTATGGCCTGGAGGCTGTATTTCTGGCTTTCTGCTAGGGAGCACGTTGGAACCCAGGCCTGCTGCACACACAGCTTCTGGGGGGACACACACCTGCTTGAGGCCCATTTCAGAAGACAAAATTTTGGCTAGAGCCTGTTTCTGCCAGCCATGATCTCAAGTAGAATGCTGCTTCTACCTCACTTCCCAACTCCCTTCCTCTCAGCGAGGGCTGTTACAGGGACTAGAGAAGCTATTTTTTAATTTAGTTGTGATGAGAGCTTTCTAATAATCCCGAGTTGGGATAATCTGGGAGATAAGTGTCCAGGTGCACCTATCGTGGATGTGGAAGATAACATTTCTGTAGCATAATATTTAATCAGTCTTTGAGCTCTTCGGTCCTGCCTCTTTTTAGGAGCTGTATAGCCAGTCTTATGATGAGATTGGAGTCATGTTTGCCTCCCTACCCAACTTTGCTGACTTCTACACAGAGGAGAGCATCAATAATGGTGGCATTGAGTGTCTGCGCTTCCTCAATGAGATCATCTCAGACTTTGACTCTGTGAGTGTCCATCTTGCCCCCCTCCTGCTACAAAGTCAGCTTGCTTCAAACTGTATCTCAGGACAGGCTGCAGAAGTCCAAGAGAAACTGGAGTTACTCTTGCTCAGGGGAGGGAACGCCTAGGCATTAGGGGTGAAATAATTAAATATTTGACCAAATATAGCAGGCTAATTTTTAAGTTGATTAGGTTCCCCATCCTGCTCTATCTGGCTACATTTCCTATGTATGGCTTCCATAGCTGTCTGGAGGGTCGGGTCTGAGGGGGTGAGATGGGAGACTAGGGAATCACCTACAACTTCACAGGATAAAGACCGGCCAAAACAGAATCCTAAAGTTCCTCTGATTCCTCCTACCTTCAAGTTCAGTTTCTTTAAACATTTATCAGGTAACTTATACATTAAGAGGAATGTTCAGCTACCCTAGGAGACTGGCAATTTTATCCCAATGTTAAGGTTGTAGAAACTGAGACTCAGGAAATCAGGAAGTTTGCCTAGTATCACACGGCAGATAAGTGGCAGAATAAAGCTTTTCTAGAAAAGCATCTTTGGATGTTTTGTGGGGGTAATTGTAAACAGGCAAAGCTGTCATTTAGTTGGCTCATTGATCCCAGTTGACTGCTGACAGTTTTCTCTTCCTTAATTGTCTTAGCTTCTAGACAATCCCAAATTCCGAGTCATCACCAAGATCAAAACCATTGGCAGTACCTATATGGCAGCTTCCGGAGTCACCCCAGATGTCAACACCAATGGCTTTACCAGCTCCAGCAAGGTACCTACCCACCTCAGTGGCTAGAGAGGCGACAGGGCTCTGCCTCCTGAGGTCGAGGCAGCCCACACTTAGCACGTGGGAAACCAGGAGCTAGAGCAACAAGCACTGCTGTACAAAGGCACTTTGCACTAGTACAGACACACACCACCAGGACCCAGCTGATTTAAAACTGGGTTTCCTGCCGAAACCGGTTTGGCTCAGTGGTAGAGCGTCGGTCTGCGGACTGAAAGGTCCTGGGTTTGATTCCGGTCAAGGGCATGTACCTTGGTTGTGGGCACATCCCCAGTAGGGGGTGTGCAAGGGGCAGCTGATCAATGATTCTCTCTCATCGATGTTTCTAACTCTCTATTCCTCTCTCTTCCTCTCTGTAAAAAATCAATAAAATATATTTAAAAAACACCTGGGTTTCCTGAGAAAGTGTAGTGAACAGATATAACAGCACACACACACAGCAGTCCACTACTATTCCACGGCCGAGGTGAGGCATACGATGCTTTGTGGAACTGTGGCTGTGCTCCCTTCTAAGTGCTGGGCGACAGAACCATCTACAAAATTACGGAACCATGAAAACACTCACATCAGGGAATGGTTTTGTTAAGTTAAATCAGACCTGTGAAGCCAGCTTGATTTAGGTACCAGAGGTGAGAAAACAAGCTGTTGGGTCCCTTGTCTCAACGGCTGTTCTTAAAACATCACAGCTGACATCCCCTTCTCAGCCTGGCTATGCATATGAGGTTAAAGAAACACGCCTAACCCTCAAGTGCTTATAATCTAGTTGAGGAATCAAAACAAGGACAGCTATCCCAAGTTTAAGACCAGGTTCGCACAAGGTGAAGAGCCACGACTCTTAAGCAGGTACACAGCAGACAGGAGGCAGATGGGCTGGGTATGACTTGTGTGTGTGTGTGTGTGTGTGTGTGTCCCCCCCCCCCCCCCACTGCCCAGTCTCTGTCACAGTGACAGGGTGCTAAAGAGGGTCCTGACTCCTTTGTGGGAAAAGGTGGAGAATAGGCCTTGAACTACCAGGTGGAGGGACTACCTCCAGAATGTTAAGGGGGGAAGCGGGGGAGTAGGCCCCTGCTGGTATGGGCCCAGAGTGGCTCCTGATGCTTTCACTCTGCTCCCTGGCACAGGAGGAGAAGTCAGACAAGGAGCGCTGGCAGCACCTGGCCGACCTGGCTGACTTTGCTCTAGCCATGAAGGACACGCTCACAAACATCAACAACCAGTCCTTCAACAACTTCATGCTGCGCATAGGTAAGGCTCGAGGCGCCCCTCTGACACGGGGGTAGGGGTGGGGTGGTGGGGAGGGGGGCTGGCGATCACTAGGAAGGATGAGAGGTGTAGAAAGATCTGACGCATTTAGATGGGGTAGGGTCCCATACTCAGAGCTGAAAGGACCTTTAATCCAAGCTCTTCTAGATGACCAGGCGGAAACCTGACCGATAGCCAGCCATCCTGTCCCACAGTGTTTACAATAATGGTTTTCTTCTCAACCTGGCTATGCATATTGAGGGGTTTGTTCACTTCATTCCAGTCTGTTAATTAGTCCCGTTACCCCGGAGACAATTGGGGGCTCACTCCTGATGAAATCACAGGAGACTTAAAGTGCGGTCTGTGTTTGAGAGAAACTGGCAACTTCCAGTACTGTTAATTAGCATATTGGGGGCAGCTGACAGTTTGCCAAGTACCTGGTGAAGCAGGATAAATAGAAATAGCTTTGTGGTAGAGGTCAGGTGGTGAATTCTGTGAGAGAACTTGGTAGCTTCTGAGAGGTGTGGCTGTGCTGAACTTTATGCCTCTATCCTAGGCATGAACAAAGGAGGGGTCCTGGCCGGGGTCATTGGAGCCCGGAAACCACACTACGACATCTGGGGCAATACGGTCAATGTCGCCAGCAGGATGGAGTCCACAGGGGTCATGGGTAACATTCAGGTCTGTCCAGCAGCAGAGCTGAGCACGTGCTCAGATGCAGGGAATAGTGTGTTTACTGTCTCCTCATTGGCCCAGACCATTACATCGGAGGTGCTGGGAGAGCAAGGGAAGCGTGGGAAAAGATGCCTCCAGGGCTAGCTGTAGCAAAGGGGAGAAAAGACACTGACTGACCCTATTTGCAAAACTTAGGATAAGTTCTGGGTAATGGTATCCTGATCTGTGTCACTTGGGCCCGGCAAGGAAGTTCCACAAGAGGGGCAAAGGGAACCAGGCAGAGTGTGAGAGTTCCCAAACAGGCGTCTGAGGGGGGGACCCCAGGGAAGCGCGCCCTGCGTTCTGGTGCGTGGGGTAAGGGGAGTGGCTGGGACCTGGGGGTCACAGGGAGACTCATCTGGGCGCCTCGGCGCGGCTCACTGTGCTGTGCTGTGTCTTCCTCCGCAGGTGGTAGAAGAAACGCAGGCCATCCTTCGCGAGTACGGCTTCCGCTTTGTGAGGCGCGGGCCCGTCTTTGTGAAAGGGAAGGGGGAGCTGCTCACCTTTTTCTTGAAGGGGCGCGACAAGCCAGCCGCCTTCCCGAACGGCGCCTCCGTGACCCTGCCCCACCAGGTAGTGGACAACTCCTGAGTGGCTTCTAGCCCTAGGGAGGACGTATTTTTTGGAATCAAAGACCTTGGGAAAGGACAAATAACTAAGTCCCAACAGTCCCAAACTGCTGAAGTGCACACTCACATAGACTTTAGATTTAAAAATCTCCTCAAGCCTTCATTTCGTGAGCTCTGAGGGTGGCCATACTATTTATTCCTCAGTGTGCCTGTAGCTTCCCCAGAGTAAGGGTCTTACACATAGTACTGGGCCAGCCCCTTCCCCACAGAGGCCGTGGCCTCTGGGAGCAGGATGGAGGGGGCGGGAGCTCAGCTGGAGGGGAGGAGATGGCAGGGCCACTTCGCTGGTGAACGTCTGCTCCCAGCCGTGACTCGGAAGCGAGCTTTTCTTTCTGAAGGAGCACAAGCTGGACACCTGTCTCTGTATGGACTGAGCTAGGTCAAAGGGCCCTGTCCTGATAATCTTGAAAGGTTCTTCTGGAACCCTGTCACCTTAGTCTTGGAAGCAGAAAGTGCAATATTTCCTTTTACCTGGTGGGAGGGAATTTATTTCTGAGAGAAAAAAAATATATCAACAGATCTACATTTATATTTTTAACTTTCTGTTAAAAAACTTTCCGATATTGCCTTGCCTTTTGAGCTCTTGCTACAGTCGCCTTTGCTACTGCTTTAAAAGAGAATTTACAGGTATTGATAAAGAACAAGACTTTTATTAAAAGCTTTCTTCAACTTGAATGTGATCCTTGTGAAAACCTGTTAATACCTCTCCTCGGAGAAGTGCTTTTTGCTAACTCGCCACCTTCCTGGGAGGCACAGAGCTTGAACTAAGACATCCCTTACTTTTTAGTGCTTTCTTCTAAATGGTGGTCCTGACTGACTGATCACTGTGTGCTCCTCCCAGGGTTAGCTGGAGCTCCCACACCTAAGGTTACGTCCTGGCCTCCAGGTCTAGGAAGTGACCTTTTAGAGTGCGTGGGGCTTGGGTAGGAATGACTCCTATTTGTGACAGGCCAAAGCCTGGCAGGACTTGAAATGGCAGAATCTGCCAGCTAGACACATCTGTAAACTGGCCCTGCAAATACTCCCCTAAACCAAAGAAAGTGCCAGCAGACCCAAGGCCCTGGTTGTCAGACCAGAAGATGGAAGGTCTGCTTCCCCTGATGAGCAGACTTCTGACTACGCTTTCTACTGAGATGTTTTAGGAAACAAAGTAAGACATAGAACTCTCACACCACCTTCTTCAAAAGCAGTGGTCTAGAGCAGTGTTTCACAAAGTGTGGTACGCGTACCCCCAGGGGTACGGGAAGAGTTTGGTGGGGGTACGCGTTGCACCGGAGTTTGGTGGGGATATGCACTGCACCGTGCTTAACTGTGCCTAATTCTACGTTCTCATGAGTACGAGGGGTACTCACGAAAATTATAGAAGGGGTACACATATGTCAAAAGTTTGGGAAACACTGGTCTAGAGTATGCTGGTCCAAACCAAAGACTAAACACATGTCCTTTCTTAACTATATGATTCATCTCATATGAACCATACGTTCTAAAAACTTTTTCAAATGTCTCAATTAGGAAAATGAGATGGCATTAAAACTTTTGTAAAAGTTAGAAATACTCTTTAGTTGAATAGTACATCCCCCCCTTTCACAAAATGCTTTCTATTGCACAGAACCCAGTCTGAGCATTTAACAACTGACCAGGCAATTGTCCAGAATTGCCAGTCTAAACTCAAACTTGCCCCTTCAGCATCCTGAAGAGGTAGGTATCTGTCTCCATGGTAAGGGGTCTGAGCCTTTCAACAGTTCTCAGTCCCATGAGCTTGCCTGGGACTGTGTACAGTACTTGTTTACTCACCTTTGATGTGTTCTTGATGAAAATATTCTAGTAGACCAGGTTCATATCCAACTTCTCTTCTCTTCTTGCAAATGAAGCAAACACGTGATGCAGGGGCTTTGTACAGAACAAGTTTTCATGGGAAGCTCGCTGCTCTTCCCATGAGGTGGACAACGCATCCATTCCTAAGACAGACAGATTCTATCAATCTCACCAGTGCGTTTGGGAGAATGAGAACCTGGGTCACTAATATTCTGGATGTAGATAACTTAATTTTTTGATCTGGAGCTGAGAGGCTGGCTCTAATTACACAATGCGATTTTGAGATGGGGAACTTAGTCTCTTCTTGGGTGAGAATTTAAAAAATATGGTATAAAACATGTGGCAGCTCCTAAAAACATTTTTTTTTTTTTTTATTACTGCCCATGTTCATTACTATGGTACACTTAACTGAAACAAAGTCACACATACACAAGCACAGAAATCTCAGCCAGTTCTGAAAAAAATCCCATTTACTGAATCGTCTCTAGAGAGCTCAATATAGACTGACTTTTCATGTCCATTTGGCTCTGCACCACTCTGGCCCCATGACTCAATCTCATTAGCTGTCTCTTCAAGAGCAGTCTCCAATGAAAACAAATTATAAGCTGAAAGAACACTGGCTGATTTGGAGGAGCAAATTAGGGGGGAGAATGACGATGATTATGTTTATTACAAAGAAGAAGAAAAATTGGTAGAAACAAATAAAATAGTCTTCATTTTTCTACTTATGGTATATAAACAAAGTATCTCAACTCACGTATTCTGCCTATTATACCCTGTTCCCCTCAACCTGAGTAACCTTGAGCTTATTATGTAATTTCTCCAGTGAGGCACCTGTCCTCTTACCTTGATAAGTAACAGCGACGTCAGTTGGGAGGGTTCTTGTGATGTCCTTATATAGCAGTCTAGCACAAAATGGGAAGGACTGGCCACTTAATTCCGCTTTGTAAGTAAATGATAGCAGGTTGCACAGTGAGTTTCTCTGCAAGGGCCCAGCCAGAAAGGCTGCAAAGTCCTTCTAATGGAGGCGGGGATCAAAACAGACACAAAGTATAGACAATTACAGCTCTAAAAGCAGAGAGTGACTGTGACACTTCCAACACTGACTACCAAAAATAGGGCCCCGTTAATTAGATTTCCGATAAATAAAGGACAGAGACAAGCCTGTAAAAAGGACTAATGACAGAGATTATGGGATAACCAGCCTAGGAAGCCCTGCAGGAGCACTTAGGTAAATGGCCAGAGGCTGGGGGATGCTATTTCTGCCAAGAATATCGTTGATGACATATGTAGAGCTTAGAGCTAAGATGCTTTCTGTCTGCATATACATATCAGTTTATCTAAACGATAACCAGGAGCTTCAATGTCATTCCAAATGCATAGTGGAGGAAATACTAAGTTTACAAGAGTCACTTATTCCCTATTGCGTTCATTCTTGCCTGGGTTTTTTTGTTTGTTTTTTACCCCAACCTCAGGCTCAATAGCAATCCTAAGAAAGTAAGGAAGAGTTCAGGCAAAGATAGATAGTATTCCTCTGATATTTCATAAAACATTATTCTGCCTTGCATCTATACTCCAGATTCAGCAAGGCACTTGGCACATAGTAAGTGCTCTATCAATCCCAGTTCGATTAACAGGATAGCAGCTGTACTCTGCTGCTTTGTGTGGGGAAGAAAAGGTCAAATATAGAAGCTTGAAGATCACCACTGAGGCGTGAACAACTCCTTAACCAGTATTCATGCTTCAACATCATCCAGAGTTTCAACAGGAGAGAAAAGAGTAGAAAATAGTTTGTAAATAAACAATAAAGAAGTATTAGAAGGATAATAGTCAAACTTCTGTTATGAAACATAAAAAAACAAAACTTGACCCTTTTTTGTTTCCTTTAAGCTTATCTTGGGCTCATCAAATGCTATGTGAGAGTCCAGGCAGATACCTGAAGTTGATCTGCTTGATACTTCCTTCCAGAGTAAGCATTTAGGTATTCGCAGAGACTGAACAGGAAGTGCTGAATGTTGGTCTGTAGGTATTTTGCAGCGATCTCCTCTAGGGGAATGAAGACTGGAATCGAATGGTGATGTATCTGAAGTGGCTTCTGTATGACAATATCCACAAAGTAGGAATCCAGCAGGTTCCCCTCAAAAGCAGTGCCGATGGAAACACAGACTCCTCGGCTGGTCAGCTTCCCACTGAGCCCTGAGGCAAACAAGACAAAACACCCCGGCAGATGTCAGGCAAAGTTAGTGTCTTACTCATCTGTTCCAGCCCCGCCTAGCACATACAGCGTGTATTCAAGTGTGTGCTGAATGAGTGACTATCATAGTCTCTTTCCCCTCATTAACTCTCACTTTGAGTTTGAGTTAAAACCACTGGATGGTGAGGGGGAAAAATCCTCAATAGCAATTATTGAGGAAGAGATTTTGAAAATTTCAATTTACCTATTCTCTTTTATTCTGAATGTTAAATAATTTATGATAGTCCCCAGTTCTTCCCACAATCCTCTTGTAACAGATGAGACTAAATCCCCATAATAATGGTGAATCAGAGAATTGAGGGGCTCAAACTATTTGACCAGTGGCATAAAGCAAGTCACAAGTAAAGAAAGCTCTAGTACAGGATCTGGCACAATTTGCACTAAATGAATAGTCTAAATGAATAGCTAAAATGAATAGTCGAAACCAGCTACTAATCAATCTATTGCTCAAAGAGGCCAATATTGTAGGTAAAGATGACTACAAACACTATGCCAGTTTTTTGTGTATATTGAGGGGGCAAAACCAATGCTGACTAAGTCCAGGACTAACAATACAACCAGCAAACTACCTCATTAGAGACCAGACCCAGACTGAAACAGGTTAGAAAAAGGTATACCTGTAAAACGATACGCTTGCAGAATGGATTTCACATTTTCAAGCTTTGTTTCCAAAACTTCTTGCTCACTGACCTCAAATGTTTGGTCAGGTTCTACACTGGCTTCTACCTGAAAGATATGCAGCAAATCAGATGGTGCAAAGGGGCATAACACAAAGTCTCTGCTTGCATCTAACTGGAATAAAGCATGTTTATTACATAATAAATGAAGAAATGCTACAGTGCTCTACCAGTGCTATGAATTCATAGTAGAGGAAGATTCTCCTGGGTCACAGTGCTAGGATCGTGCTGGCCTAAAGAGGATTGTGAGAGGCTAAAGAAAAGGGTGTGAAGAAAGTCTAGTGTGAGCACAGGGTGAGTTGCACAGAGGCAAGGCTGGAAAGTTGGTTTGGATCAGACTGTGCAAGCTTTCAAGTGCCAGGAAAAGAAATACCGACTCTGAGATGTATACTTAGAGCAATGGCCCAATAGTCTCAGTCTCTCCCTCCCTCTGAGAACTATTGTACATAGCAGGCTCCCCTTAAAAGCAGTTCTAAAACTAAGCATACATACGAGCAAATAAACAAAATGGTCTGAAGGCATAAGAGAACGACCAAAATAGCCAGACTGAAGGTTAAAGATAAACGCTCTGGCTTAGCTGGGCTTTCCCTGCAGCCTCCCCTCGGAGCATTTGATTTGTATACAAGGCATATGGGTCAAACAGAAAGCTATAGGCCAGACTGTAGCGGTCCCACTAAGACACACACGAGGCCAAGGTTACCAAAGCAGCCTTTCTATGAGCCAAGGTCCCATCAAAAAGGGAGCCCAATGTTCTGCAGGCAATGCACCCTCCAGGCAAAGATTTAGAAAAGGAAATGAGCATAAAATTAGATCCCTAAATCAACTTCATTAAAACAAAGACTTTCATCATGAAACACCATCAGAGAATGAAAAGGCAAGCTACAAGGTAAGATTTGTAAAACATACCCAACAAAGAATTCATATCCAAAATATGAAAAGAATTCTACAATTTAATGAGGTAGAAAATCCAATAAAAATTTTGCAAAAGCCTTGAAAAACATACTTTACAAAAGAAGACTCTGGAGTGTCCAATACAGGTACTTTAACATCATTTAAAGGCAAATTAATCCACAATGAGATACTATTATATTCCCACCAGAATGTCAAATTTTTAAAACCAACAATATCAACTATAGATAAAGCTGCAAAGCAATGGAAAGCTTATACAATATTGCTGGGAATGTAAAATTGGTGTAATCACTTTTAAAAGCTGTTTGACAGTATTTTACTAATGCTAATATGCATACCCGTGACACCCAGCAATTCTACCAAATCCATACCTAATAGAAAAGTGTATATTTTTAGACCAAAACAACAGACTATTCATAGCAGCATTCTTCATTTAAAGCCTCACTTGAGAATGTATGTGTGTGTTTTGATTTTAGAAGAATGGAGAGGGAGAAAGAGAAACATTGATGCAGGAAACACCCATGGATTGCTTCCAGTACACGCCCCAATTGGAGATCAAACCCAGAACATGATCAAGAACCAAACCTGTAACCTGTAACCAATCCTGGGACCGGATTCTCCAGCCAATTGAGCCACACTGGTCAGGGCAGTGGCATTATTCTTAATAGACCCAATATCCCAAATGTCACTAGCAGTACACAAGTAAATTAATTGTGGAATGTTCATAAGGAGAGATTACTAGACAGCAGTAAAAAAAGGACCACTACATGCAACATGGATGAATCTCACAGACATAATATTCAGCAAAAGAAGCCAGACATGAATTTTATAATTTTAACAATTATATGAAGTTCAAAAACAGATAAAACCAAAGTATGACGACAGAAATCAAAATAGTGGTTACCATGAGGGAAATGACTAGAAGGATACAAGAGGGAGACTTAGGGCACTAATAACATTCTCTGCTTTGATTTGTGTGGTACGGGATGTGTTCACTTTGTAAAAGGTTCTGCAGATTTGTGCACTTTGTTTACTCCTATCTTTTACTTTAATGAAGTGAAGGGAGGGAGAAAGCGAGAGAAGGGAGTAAAGGGGGAAATGGAAGAGAGGTGGGAACGTGAGAAAAAGAAGGCTGACCATATCCATGGTCAAGGAATGGTTAGTGAAGGCTTTGAGCAAGGAAACAGCAGTGTTTTAGGAAAGCATTTTCTTGGCTGTGTAGGATTTACTGGAGGAATACAAATCCTAGAGAAGAGAACCAAATAGCAGACTATTGTGACAATCCCGGCATCCAAATCACGTGAGAAATATTTATAGCAGATGTGGATAATACTTGAGCTATTGCAATGGAATGGAGAAGAAAGAGGAGGAAGCACAAAAATTATGAGAGTTCTTGCTGGCTGGCCCTGGGCTAGATAGGAAACTGAAAAGAAGAAAGAGTCAACGTTTACTGTGAGGCTTCAACGGAAAAATGGCACCATGACATGGTACCAATGACTCAGGTCAGGCTGAGACAAGGCAACAGGTTCATGTTGGAGGGCAGGTTAAAAGATCCTGCGGGCTGAAACCGGTTTGGCTCAGTGGTAGAGCATCAGTCTGCGGACTGAAAGGTCCCAGGTTCGATTCCGGTTAGGGGCATGTACTTTGGTTGCGGGCACATCCCCGGTAGGGGGTGTGCAAGAGGCAGCTGGTCGATGTTTCTAGCTATCTCCCTTCCTCTCTGTAAAAAATCAATAAAATATATTTAAAAAAAAAAAATTCCTGCGGGGCCATCAGTAAGAGCCTGAGAATTGTTAGCTGATACTAATATCAGCTGAGACCTGCAGGCTTGATGAGAGATTAAGGACTGAAATCAGTCCAGTAAGATCAAAGGTAAGTCACAACATACAGATGTGCGAATTCCCTGGCCTTGCTCCTTACACCCGGGGGAAGCCTGCCGACAGTCACCCTCCTACTCACTCTGGCTTGTCGTCGTTGCACTTCCGCCCTGAGTTTGTCTCGCAGACTCCTCAGCTTACGAATCTTACTTCCAAGAGCGCTCTCCGCTCCCTGTGGCTCTTCAAATTTCTTACGGGATTTAGACTCTAGTCTTTCCAAGTGAGCGAGAACACCTGAAGAAAGCAGAGAGAATTTCTCAAGAAGCCAAGGAGTTCTAATTCTGGCAGCAGAAAGCATTTCAGGTTAGAGTAAAAGGTGACCTTTTTGTTTTGTTTTTTCAGACCTTTGTGGCTAGTTAATTGTTAGACATTGCTCCCAGCTTATAAAACAAGAACTGACAACAGAACCAAAGATCAGCAGCCTCAGCCTGAACAGTGATGTACAAGCGAGCAGTCCCTAACGAGGACAATGTCCGAAAAAGAACATTCTCTGAATATAGCTAATCTCAGTTATCAGTGGTGATGATAACCCAGCGGAAAAGAGTCACCAAATTCACTGGCTCTCTCAGAAACTGTTTTTTAAAATGTAGAATTGTTTCTTAATTGTTTTTATGCATGTTTTCCCAAAGTGCTAAAGCATAATTCTTTGAAGCTCTGAAAAATATTGGTACAGGACTATAAAAACACAAACTAAGAGAACTGTCCACAAATATTAGAGAGGAAAACACGCCGAATGCTGGACAGAAACTCAGAGGCAAATTTCAGTTCCCTAGAGCAGTTCTTGGCAAAGTGCGGCTCACGAGCCACATGCAGCTCTTTGGCCTCTTGAGTGTGGCTCTTTCACAGAATACCATGGCCTGGGCAAGTCTATTTTGAAGAAGTGGCATTAGAGGAAGTTTAAAAAATTTGGCTCTCAAAAGAAATTTCAATCGTCGTCCTGTTGATATTTGGCTCTGTTGACTAATGAGTTTGCCAACCACTGCCCTAGAGATTGACTAAGGACCAAGACAAGCGCACATAGCTGTATTGTGCATCCTTGACTGCCCTTCACAGTGTTGCTGTGTGTGTGTGTGTGTGTGTACACATGCAAGCTTCTTCTTCTTTTTTTTTTTTTTTAACAAATGAAAAGTAACATCCCACACCAGTGAACAGATTCTGACTTGCTTTATGGCAGCACTCTAGAACTGAACCTGGAATATCTCTGAGGGACGCCTGTACGGTAAGGGTCGTATTCTCATAATGCTAATAAATCCCAACAAAGCATCTGCTGAACTCTTCCTACGTGTCAACACACTTGTGCTAGGTTATTTACTTGCAAAACATGTAAAGAATTACAACATTTATTGAATATTTCATATATATATATATACTGTGTGTATATATATATATATATATATATATATAAATAAAATGGTATATGTTAAATGCCTTCCGTGAAAAAGACGAAAAGAATTATATAATTCCCACAGCATTACCACAATGCTGTTATTCACCTCCAATTCCCAGATAAAAAACGGAAGCAGAAAAAGGTAAAATAACCTGCCCAAGGCCACAGTATTGACAATGGCAGAGCCAGGACTCAAACCCAGATCTAACCGATGCCAAAGCCACTGCCTGGCACTGCCTCTTCCACAGGAGTAATGCACAAATGGCCCCCCAAAATTCTGGGAAGAGAGAGTCCTCACTGGCTAGAACTGTAGCCCTGAAAAGAGAGAGAGCGTATTATGAATGCAAACTAAGTTGCTTGTCCCTCAAATTGGCAATAAAGCAAGTCCTAACTTTTTGCAGGTGGATGTTTTTGCCTTCAAATTGTAAAAACCACAAAACCTGTGAGGAGCAAGGAGGGGTGTGTGTGCTTGTATTAGTTCCTTTCGCTGTTCTGCTCCCACAGGGCAGGTCGCACCAGATAGAGGAGGAAAGCGCTGTCAACCGGGGCGGGGAAGAGGGGGTGTCATCTTGGGGCAGCAGCAGTAAAAGGACGAAGACAGCCATTAGAGTACCTCCTTTGGGCCCGCCCTCTTGACTTAAAGAATTCGCCAGTTCCATCTGCTCAGGTTTCCAAATCCATAAGCCTTCCCAGGAAGCTGTCCGGCACCGGGAACAAGAACCTAGATTTCCTCGCTGACAAAAGGAAAAATGGCAAGGGAGTCACATCTAGACGGTAGACAAACACCCCAAGTGTCATTACCAGGACTCCCCTTCCCAGAGTCGCCCTTTCCCTCCGGGAGCCAGCAGGCCGTGTCCACATCCAGCTCGCCGGCCCGGAGCGCTCCCGGGGGCACAGGCCCTCCGCTTTGGCGGGTTTGCCTTCCACCGCAAGGAGCTGCAGGAGGCCATTTAGCCACCGTCTGGAAACTCACCGGATCCTATTCCCCCTTACCTCCTCTCCTCCGGCTCACGCAGCCCAGGGACCAGTTCCCGCCATCCTCGCCTTCAAAACACAGCCAATCGGACCCAGCATGCTTTGCGCAGCCGCCGTACAAAAACATGGCCCCGCTCAGGGCCCCTCCCCGATCCCAGCATGCACCGCGGGCTAGGCCAGGTCTTCCAGCTGGGCAGGAATATGGCGGCACCCAGCGCGGAACCACCGGTCTTGGTACAATATTTGGTGTTACGGAAGGATCTGTCGCAGGCTCCATTCTCCTGGCCGGCGGGCGCGCTGGTAGCGCAGGCTTGCCACGCAGCCACGGCGGCCTTGCACATCCACCGCGACCACCCGCACACGGTGGCTTACCTCCGGGAGCTGGGGCGCATGCGCAAGGTGGTCCTGGAGGTGAGGCCCGGGGCCGGGGGGCGGGGCGAGAGGAGCGCTGAGGAAGTGGAGACCGGAAGTGGAGACCGGAAGCGGGTGTGGCCTGGAGTCAGAGGACCTAACTTCGTGTGAAGGGACGGGAGTGAGGAGTTTTGGCTTCTAAGATTTGGGGGCGCTTTCTGGGGTCAGAGAGTCTTCCGTTGGCTGGGGAGGGTCTGAAAGTGAAAAGTGGGCCTCGGGTCCGTTACTAAAAGGGCTCGCACCCCTCCGGTCTCACCTGCGGCCGTGTTAATGATGCCTGTGCGAGAGGAGGCTAGAGAGAGACCCGCCTTTTTACCTGCGCACTGGGCCCGCCTTTTCCTGCCGCCGCACGGATGACATTGTTAACCCTCCCTTCCCGCAAAACTGACCCAGGATTAGGACTCGGGATTTCTTATTGCCAGTGAGACTGAAGCCTTTACCTGGACGTGACGCCAAATTATTTGGAAAGAGATGTGAACCCTGGTGTAAATTGAACCCAGCGTCACAAACACCAGGGGTGTACTCTAGCGGGAAGGTCCTTTCTGCAGATGGCCAGACAGATCTTACCCTTGGTAGTTTCTGCTCTAGGAATGTGTCCTAAGTAAGCAACTCTTAAAATCAGAGCTGGCTGAAGCATTAGGGATAGCTGTTTGGGCACCAGCCACAAGAGAACTAGAAAATGTATAGAGCATAATTACTGACAATGCATGCAGCATTTCAAGAAGGAAGAGAAAAACGTCCCATTCCCTAAACAGAAATATTAAGCCCCTTCCTTTCTCCCCAGCCCCCAAGCAATTTGTCTAATGTCCTACAGAGAGTGAATGAAAAATGGAGCAATGAAGCTCTTCTGGAGATGTGGAGATCAGTTCCTCCACTTCCAGTTAAGGGGAGCCCGCCTCCTCCCATATTTCTTCCCATTGACTTGATACTTCTTAAATGGGCTATTCATTCTACGTTCTGCATCCTGTTTCTTGTAGGCCCCAGATGAGACCACCCTAAAGGAGCTGGCTGGGACACTGCAAGAGAAGAACATTGACCACATGCTATGGCTGGAGCAGCCAGAAAATGTCGCCACTTGCATTGCACTCCGTCCCTACCCCAAGGAAGAAGTGAACCAGTATTTGAAGAAGTTCCGATTGTTCAAGTGACTGATGTTATGAATTGCTTTGATATCTTTGAGTATCAGCTGGATCCAGAAACTGCATGCCATCCATCCCGCAGCATCATGTACTCCTTTCATAGGCACCTTGCTCTTCCCTTTAATTTATGACATTTTCTTGAGGGTTAAACACGTTTACATTAAAGTTGTCATTAGTAAATACTTTCTCTTATTTTTCGTTAAGTTCAGATGGGGAAAGTAGGTGATCAGCAATGTTATTTATGGGTCATTGCTCAAATAGAAGATTTGGTTAGACTCACACGGGTCAAGAAAATGCCTTTCGCCGAGACCGGATTGGCTCAATGGATAGAGCGTCAGCTTGGGGACTGAAGGGTCCCGGGTTTGATTCCGGTCAAGGGCATGTACCTTGGTTGCAGGCATATCCCCAATAGGGGTGTGCAAGAGGCAGCTGATCGATGACTCTCATCGATGTTTCTAACTCTCCCTTCCTCTATGTGAAAAATCAATAAAATATATATTAATAAAATACTTTAAAAAAAGAAAAAGAAAATGCCTTTCCATTTTTGTTAAAAAAAGTATATTTTTCAACAGAGCAAAAATTGTGTTGCAAGTCGTAGAATAGGTGATAAATCCTTGACAAGAATCTCCTCTGCTTTGTAAGTTTCTTATATGTAAAAACGTTTTAAAATTAACTGTGTCCAGCCCTGGTCAGTTTGGCTCAGTGCATAGTCAGCCTGTGGACCAAAGAGTCCTGAGTTTGATTCCAGTCACGGTCATGTATCTTGGTTGCAAGCTCCCCCCTGGCCCAGGCCCTGGTTGGGGCTCATGCAGGAGGCAACCAATCAATATATTTCACATCAATATTTCTGTCTTTCCCTCTCTCTAAAAATCAGTGGGAAAATATCCTCAGATGAGGATTTAAAAAAACAACACACAATAGCACCATACGTGTTATTCAAGCCTTAAGATGCAGACAGTCTTGTCTCAAGCTTACAGATTCAGAAAAGCTTTGACATGCCCAAGATCAAAGTCAGGGTTTTGTCTGTCCAGTCTTCCCTTAACCTCTCATAGTGGGTTACCTTTGGTTATCATCTAGATACTAGAAGGTGGTCATAAGTAGTTCAAACACTGAGAAGCTGGTCTTTCATTTTATGTTGGTTAATTGACATTCTGGATTATAAACCATCCTCCTGTGACTGTAAGGTCCAATTATTATTGGATGAGCTGACAAAATTGAGTTCCTGAACTTATAATTGAGGATCAGTGTCTAGGTCATTGCTTCTCATGGGGCTGACAAAATAGAGGACTTCTCTAGAAGTGGTTGTTAAAAGCACATTTTAGTGTTATTTAATCAACACACATTTTCTGCACAGATTCTGAGATTCCTTCCTCAGGGTGTGCCTGTGCTACCTGATTGAGTTTAGGCAATAGTAAACCACTGTTACTGTGCAAAGGTGTGTGGAAAAATGGGTGAGAACCGCTGACTTTGGCTACCATTGCCTCACAAGTTTTAGCTGTCCTCTGAGATCAAGTTTAACACGGAAGAGGGGACTAAGATCTAAGTGTGGGGACCAGTAAAAACTTCTTAGAAAGGGCATCTAAATTGAAGCCTTGAAGGACAAGCAGGAAGGGGAAAGAAGTATTACAAACCATGGAAGAAAATGACATGGACATGGAAGTGAGAACTTGGTAAATTCAGAAATAAAAACCATTTGTTTAGAGTATGGAAAGTTATGATAGTTAAAATGTAGAGTGATTTCAGATAAACTATAGGCAAGATGTAGGTTGTGTTTAGAAAGATTTCTCTGATGACTGTGTGAAAGGTGAATGTAAGAGGCACAAACATGGTTACTATAATCATTCAAAGAAAGGTAAGTGCTGAATTTGGTCTGTGATTAACAGGGTTAGGAAGAGAATAGCATGAGGCACTACAAGAGATAATTTTCAACAATTTGGAGAGAAGAATTGGAGTGGATTGTTGAGAATGATGACACAATTAATATATATAGATAAGAGAGACCAGAGCTTATTTGTGGGGAAGTTATTTGGTTTGGGACTTAGGTTTGAGGTGCTGGGGAGTGGGGATATATCCATGTGGTAATGTTCACCAGTTGGAAATTCAAGACCAGATTTTGAGAGAGGTCTTGACTAGAAGAGCAGACTTAAGATGCATAGGAATATAAGTGGTACTGAGTTCAAGGGAAAAGAAGAGAGAGTACAGGGACTCACTTCAGACCTATTACCCTCACGCAAATTTAAAACATGAAAAAAAATCAGTCTGTTAGCAAAACCAAAGTTAGTGTCCAATTTACTTTCAAAATGGAAACCCCACCAAACTTCTAAGGAACTTGAGCTCCAGAGAACAATTTTTAACTCATCTGTCGGTTAAAAAAATTTTAAAAAAATAGTTTTAAAAATTGATTTTAGGGAGAGGGAGAGAACATTGATGTGAGAGGGAAACATCAATCTGTTCCTCCCATTCGCAACCCAATTGTGGATAGAACCCAAAACTTGGGCATGTGCCTAACCAGGAAATGAACCAGTGACCTTTCAGTGCATGGGATGGCACTCAACCAACTGAGCCACACCAGCCAGGGCAACTCATCAGTCTTTCTGTGTCACTGTGCCATGTCATGGTGCTCTTATCTCAGTTGTACTGTGCAGTGGAAACAATGGCAGTTTTCATCCCAAAACTAAAGAACTGACTCTGGGGTCCAGAACTTCCTAGCCACCTGGCAAAAAATCTGAGCTTGTTTCCCCATCTGTAAAAGAAGGCTATGCCCTACTCTAATTGTTTCAAAGGATTTTGAAAATCAAATGACATACTGTATGGGAAAGTGCTGTACAAACTAAGAGATTATTAGCACAAGAGTGTTAGCCAAGCACATTGCCTGGCAGAGTAGAAAGAAAAGTTTCCCTTAACTGATTTAGAAACTCCACTATGAGAAAGGAAGCAGATTCAGGCAAGCATCGTACTTCCCATCAGTGTCTGCCCTGCAACAGTCCATCAAAACATGGAATAGCCCTATAACCAGTTTGGCTCAGTGGATAGAATGTCAGCCTGTGGACTGAAGGGTCCCAGGTTCGGTTCTGGTCAAGGTAATGTACCTTGGTTGCGGGCACATCCCCAGTAGGGGATGTGCAGAAGGCAGTTGATTGATGTTTCTAATTCTCTATCCCTCTCCCTTCCTCTCTGTAAAAAATCAATAAACTATATTTTTTTAAAACATGCAATAAACACCAGCTTGGTCTAAGGTTTTGTGTTTTATTAGAAAGGAGTATCTGTCCCATCAGATTTTCCTCGTAGTGGGAGGAAAATCTGATGGGACAGATATTCCTTTCTAATGTCTAGTTTTTAAAAAAATACTTTTTGTTGCTTTTAGAGAGGAAGGGAGAGGGATAGAAACATTGATGAGAAATAAGTATCAATTGGCTGCTCCTGCAAACCTCTTACTGGGGTTCAAGCCCACAACCTGGGCACGTGCTCTGACTGGGAATCAAACTAGGAACCTTTTGGTTCCTGGATTGATGTTCAACCACTGAGCAACATCGACTGGGCCCCAACATTTTAAATCTTTTATTTTTCTCAAGTCAGTGTTGCAGCCTTGTTTCAGATACCTGTGGGAATTGCTCCGTTTTCTGTTGGTTGCACAAACTACCAAGTACCTGAGACAAGCACAAATAATCCGACCAGAGCCCAAACCCAGGATAGGAGAAAAATGCTTTGTCTGCAGATGGATCAAGAGCTCGAGAAAAGTGAATGCTTCTATGATCTGATCCAAGAAAACAAATTTCCTGTCTCACAACAAAGGACCCTGTCAGTCATTTTAGACCTGCCTCTCACGAAAGCCATTTTCCAAAAACATTTTTAAACTAAGGGATGACACTGCAGCCTCATGGAACTCCCTTTTCATTTCCTGTTTAGATATGGACAGACTGCCTCTCCTAAAATTTTAGTGGGACCCAGCTGGTGTGGCTCAGTGTTTGAGTGTCAACCAGTGAACCTGGAGGTCATGGTTCGATTCCTAGTCAGGGCACACGCCTGGGTTGTGGTCTTGATTTCCAGTAGGGGGCATGCAGGAGACTGCCAATCGATGATTCTCATCATTGATGTTTCTATCCCTCTCTTCCTCTCTCTACAATCAATAAAAACATTTTTTTAAAAATTGTAGTGGGAGACCTTGCCGACCTAATCACAAAGCTCACCCCCATTCAGGCCTCCAAAGGACAAGAGCTCTGCCGTCTCCGGAGAAGGGCCAGGTCCTCTCTCCTCAGCCCTTGAATTATCATTCCTTTTGAAGGCCTGTTTTTGAAAGTTATTTCATGTAAGAAAATTGGCTAAGGTCACACAATAAGACTCTGAATTAGTCCTACTTCATAATAGTGCAGGATAATGAACCCAGATTTTGGAATGAGAAGACTTAATTTCAAGTCCCAATGGATTGGTAAAAAGTTATTTGTCATAACCTTTTCGAGTTTTTTTTTTCTTTTTTAAAATATATTTTTATTGATTTCAGAGAAGAGGGTAAAGGGAGAGAGAGAATCACCAAGCATGAGAGAGAATCATGGATCAGCTGCCTCCTGCCGCTCCCTGCTGGGGACGGAACCCACAACCTGGGCATGTGCCCTTGACCAGAATGAAACCCAGGACCCTTCAGTCCACAGGCCGATGCTCTACCCACTGAGCCAAACTGGCTAGGGCCGTGGTTGGCAAACTGTGGCTCAGGAGCCACATGCGGCTTGAGAGCTGCGGTCTGCCGCTCTGTTGACTGAGTTTGCCAACTGCTGGGGAAGGGGCTTAATCACAAGGAACAACAGCCTGTAATTATTGGAATCGAGAGTCTAGGTCAGTGGTTGGCAAACTCATTAGTCAACAGAGCGGCAAACTGCGGCTCGTGAGCCTCATGTGGTTCACGAGCCAGTTTGCCGACCACTGGGCTAGGGCTAGAGTTTTTCTTTCTAATGAGGACTTTCTTAAATGACTGCAAAGGATTACACAGAGAATGTACTGAAAATCACCTTACAAATTGTTACAGTACAATTATTTTTTCCTGAATGTTTCTAATATTGTTACCAACTACAATAGAGTACTGTGTAAAATATGTAAAAACCTATAGTTCTGGATAGAGCTGGTAATGGAAGAGATCTCAGCTAGTGGCTGGCAAAATTTCCAACTGAGGATCCCAAAGCCTAGTTCATGTTTCTCCTGGAGCTCTTAGCTAATTTCAATTACTTTTCAGTCTATCAGCTAACATCCCATATAATAAAAGGCTAATCTGCAAATAGACTGAATGGCAGAAACACCAA